CCCCCCCCCCCCCCGCCTGATCCTTACCAGTGCTAATCATTCTATAGCAATAAATTTTCAGAATGATATTCCTTAAGAAAAAAAATCTTCATTATCAATAATCTACGTACCGTTCCATTCAGCATCCCTCGAAGTATCCTCACGAGAGCTGACAAAGATTTCAACTGAACGGCGGAGTGAAATTTTGAAAGTCTCATGATCTGCAAATGGAATGAAATTTTGCTTTCATTTTATTTTTCCATCGAGCTTTCAAAGCACGACAAGCCTCGACAAGGCACTTCCTACATTCCGTTTCATTTTTTTGTTTTTCCCGTTTTTCTGTGTTGCTCGTAAAACAAAAGATTCACGAGCTAAAAACTCCCTTACTATATATCGCATGCTCCCTGGATAAAAATGAGCGCTGTCATGTCATAAAGGCAGGTCGATATAGATATTCATGGTGGATATGAAATTTATTACTTTTACATTTTTATCAACATCGCGTTACGCGATCTTAAAAGGTAAACTGCAAAATTCCATTCCGAAGGGTGAGACATCTGTATCTCAAAGAAAATATAGTACAAAATCTATCTACGGCATCCAGCATGTTTATCGTGTATCGTAGAACCTCGCTACATTAAGCAACTGGAAAAGGACCATCCCTTTTCATCAGAAAGAACTGCCATTAATCTCTAAGGGCTTTGTGACGACGACTGCCTAACGTCCCGTCTCAATCATTAGTTTTCGATGTCAGGCGCGACCAAGCAGCTCGTGGACATTTTACTCGAAATTCAGTTATTAATCCTGTGGCGCCAGACGAACGGGAAACAATTCGCTGTGACAGTTATTCGGCCCTCCCGCGCCCCTTGTGCCGTTATCGATCTCAGTTTGACAATTGTTTTCTCATGAGGGGTTGCGTAAAGGTGCGTCACTCAACGAAGCGGAATTGTCGCGGCTGCAAGAGGGCTCTAAGGGCGATTGGAAAAGCAAGAAAATATCGCTGAGTGTTTACCGATGAGGTAAAATGGAAATTGACAAGAGAGAGAGAGAGAGAGAGAGAGAGAGAGAGAGAGAGAGAGAGAGAGAGAGAGAGAGAGAGAGAGAGAGAAAGAGTAATGGTGATAACTTGATAAGGAATGAAATAATGGAGAGGGGAAAAAAAGTAGCATTAAGGATGAGTAAACTTTCTAAATTATATTCAAAATGGAGGCTGGTGAGAGTGCCGTCTTTACTTTGGTTAAATAAATAAAAAATAAATAAATATAGAAAAATGAAATGAAGCACCACCCATGGTAACTGTCTCGCGTGCTCTTGATCATGGCTAAACTTTTGGCAAGCAAAGTTTTGCATCGTGCTCGAAGGACGTATGCATATGCATTTTAATGTTATATATCTATATACGTATAACCCAACTGAGTGGGTCGACGCGCGTCTTCAAACTTTGTGACGTACTTACTCGCATAACGCTCTCTCTTCTAATTAAATGCAAATATTTTAGCAGCCTTCTCTGACTGTGCTGGGACATTTCTAAAAAGCTCTGTCTCACTCCTACATTAAGAGAGAGAGAGAGAGAAAGCAAGGGAGAGAGTAAAAGCTGACGAGTACTCGCGAATTAAGCCGCTGACAAAGTCCTCGTGAGGTTTTCTGAACTTTTCATTGGGTCTGATATGTATTGAGATCCATTAAGAGGCCTACTTGAATATTTGAAAATTTTCATATTTTAACATTTATAAAAATTCTTTTTTTTTCACATTGTCAGAAGTACTACTCGTCAAGTATACATTGAAATATATTCGGTAGTGCGCAATATAAAAAAGAGTCTCGGATACTCAAAGTGGTTCGTTCTCATGGAAGCCAGCCCATTGTGTAATTTCATAACTTTTAAATTCAATCCGGCATCAAGTACAGACATACGAGTATACATTTAATACCGTAGCATTATAAACCGATTGATGGAAAACGGCGCGAAAAGCAATAAATTTGAAAAAGATTTATGTCAGAGACAACAAAGGGAAACCCGCCTTAGGGGTGTTTGGGGTTAGAATCCACGCGATTCCTGGTGACACCTAAAACGTATAGAAAATCCTATAAGCCATGCGATAGTCCTATTTCACGTCAAACGACAAGAAGAATCGCTGCAGGAGCAAAGCCATGGATGGATACAAAGGAAGTAAAAGTCTAGATTCAAAAGAAAATATATATATTTTCAATGTACATGGAAATGTGTATACGTAACACGTTGCACCCGTGCGTCTGTGATTTTTAACTGTGTCCTCCACGAGGTCCGACCAACTACAGTAGACATACACCTAGACCCGTACGGAGTTTGCAGAATGTTTTATAGGTCACTATTGGTATAAGATGCTCGGCTACGGGACAGCGAGGTCGGGTAGATAAATGTCCCAGTGAGAATGGGCATCCTGAGATACCCCGTGGGGAAGACGACGGACTCGAGGCAAGGATTCCAGCGGGGAACCTCTGGAAAATTTAATGAAACCTCCATGGAAAATTATTGCCTCCATTGCCAAAGGGCTTCCAAGACGGCCTCCTATCCGGAACCTCCTGGACGGAACCACGGTCTAAAGGGATTCCCGTGATGTCGCTAAAGTAAAGGGCAGGCGGGTAAGGTGTGCGGTAAGGCTAGAAGGTACGGTAGGTTATACCTATGAGAACAGGAGAAGATGGTAAGGGGTAATAGGAAGAAATGGTAGCACTTTAATTCGAAAGCGTCGCCACGATTCGCTCTGGACAATAAATAAACTTCCCTGGATGTGTGCGCGACGGAAAAGCCCAAAGCACTCGAACGTTTACGAGCTCGTAAAGTAAGCCGCTTCGAAATGAAACAATTTGTCTCGCGAGTCAAGACCGTTATTAGTGTGTCACTCTTGCTGGTTGTGTTCTTGGTTAATAACACAATATCTATACATATGGGTATATACATGTATGTATAGAATATGTATACAATACGCGCATAGCCATAATTATAGGTATAGGCATACAGGTTAAACAGAAAATCGTTGAAAGCAATCAAGTAATGGTTTACGAATTAAGTAATTGAGCTCTGCACGTAATTGCCATTATGTTATGCAGGTTAATTATAGAAATCAATAATTATTATATCGCAAAAAAAAATATGCCATTTAATTCCGGCATAATTATCTTGAAAGCTCGTCACGGTAAATTACATTTTAATATAACGAGTTTTTATTAATTCAGGTAAATTGTTAGAGTGAAAGATAATTTGTGGAATGGATCTTCTTGAAGATTTACTTATATGGTATTTTGTTGAACGGTATGTTTTTTTTTTTTTTTTTTTTTTCAACAAATTTTAAATCATTTAACTTATCGTGGTTGTATGAAATATTAGCTGGAGACAGTGCTATGTAGGACTGTGCGATACGAGCATCGTGATGGAAACGATTACGAAGCGCTTAATGTCCCGTTAATGACGGTCATTAGAAATAAAATGAAAGTCAACCGATAAGTTGGCTGATAATTAATAACGTTGCTGGCTGAATAATGGCCCAATTCGAAGAAAACCTCTGACACAATATTTTCACGTTCTTCTGTTTGTTATTAGGCGAATTATCATATGCACCATTTATCATGTAGGTATACAGGGTATAATGTTAATTACAGTGAATTACGTCATCCCTACAGATGAAAAGTGACAGATATTCTCGATGCACATGCATCATTCTATCCATAAAATTGTTCTTTCGTTACGTACCTACATTCGTTCTGTTAATCCTATTAGATTTATTTAATTTTATTAACACACTAAAAAAACAGATCCCTCTACTGTACCTCTGCAGAATTTAATAATATATTATCATAGAACTCATAAAAGATTATGCAATGTGTTCTACCGTGAGATAGATTTTAGTTTTATCAATAAAATTTTGCATTTTTAGGTAAAGCAGCGCTCACGTACTACAGCCATTAAAAAATGACCAAGTATTGCACGTCTGTGATTATTTTACAGAAAATCCGGCCGCTTTGGCATCAAAACGTGAATCAAGGACGCGTAAAATTAAATCGCTTACAGGATACGAAAGTCCTTGTAAAAATTCTCCGGGCACACGTCCATTCCGACTGGGTACTCTAAAATCCATTACGGAAGTGCGGCTTTTGCTGGATAAATCCTCCACCCACTTCCGATTATCCTTAGCAAGGGCAACTACATGCTCAAACTTTTAATCGTATTGATATGCTCGTTAGAAAAAAAAAAAGAACGGAAGACAGATAAAAAACCAGTAATGCTAAATCGCTTTCACATGCGCTCCAACGCGACCTGCTTCACTGATAAGGGATTTTCCAAGCTGAAAAGCTTATCGACCTGCGGATACGATAGGCAGCTACTATCTCATCCTGTCCCTGCATTGCCCTTCGGTACCGGAAATCCCCTTAAACGGTTTGCGAATCTCGACGCGACCTTCGTCTATTCATCACCGACGTACGGGATCCCTTAAAGCACGTTTAAACCAGGTCTGTCGGGCATAACTAACAAACCATTTTGAATAGGTTCGCCCTAAGGTTCTCACATGAAAGTCTCACAGGACGTGTTGAAGAAAATGTTCATATCGTCTAGACTAGACATCTTACTTACGACAACGGTTCGATCCAGTGGCTCAACTCCTAGAACATGCGGTATTCCTTTAGCAACTATGGCAAATCCAATAGGGATTTACAGGAGCCAGGATAGAATAGTATATGATAGTATAGCAGTATAGCATAGCATACTATAGAAGCGGGTAAAATAGCATTTTCCCTTATGCTGGATTTTCTGAGATTCCCTTTCTTCGATTCATAAATATCCTCGAGCTGTAATAACTCATTGAAAAGAATCCATCTTTTATGTATATGGCGGCACGTTAATCATATTTACTTGCCTTAAATTCATATTCATAATAATAATCATGTGAAAACCTATGCTTCCTTACCGAAGAATCTCGTCATTTCATATCGTTTGCGCTTTTACGTTCCAGTACGTATCTGATATTCTGTGCTTAAGGCTTCTCTGCAATGTAAAAGGATACGCAGAGATGTTCTTATGGAATTTACGTCTCCAGGGAAGTGACCCATGCTATGTAAACGAGATTTTTCTTCTTGTCGTATTGCACCGAGTTTCTGACAGACATAAAAAAAGGATTTACAAGTTTGGACTTTAGTAATAAATTGCTAGAAATTCTATATCTCTTTCTTATATCGATATGCTATTGAATAATATTTTTTTTTATAGTTTTTTCTATTCAATCTTTATTTTTATTTTTGTGGATTCTTATTTATCTCACATCCGTATGTCATTGTGTTACTCCTGTCATCATACTCTTTTATTTATTATCTATTATACGAAATCGAACAGGTAGATACTGTAGTTGGGTTCACTTCATTCATTCAGCTCAGTGCACTAGATAATCCTCGATATCGGAACTTGGTTTTGAAACGAATAGAAGAGAGTTTCATGAATCCAGCGTATTCCCTCTGGTGAGGATTCCCGTATTTTCCTCATTCCCCAGCGCGGAAAGAACATGAAGAAAACCCACACGAGAATATCACGAAATTTCGAAAAAAAAAATAAAACTTGCGATTCTGCTGAACGTATTAGATACTATTTTTGTATAGGTATCTCAAGACGCTTTGACTGTTACAATTTTCGTAATAACATGTTACAACCCCACCCTGCCTCTCACAAAAATTATTATTCAGCTGTCTCATTAAAAATTTAATTATCAAAATCTCCATGGGAGATTACGAATGATCAAAGGAGTCGAGGATGTCAAAAATACACAAGGAATATATAATAATTGTATCTAAACTGATTACCTGAATATTATAATCAGATATAAAATATCTTTGGAATTTAACATAACTGTCTGTTCTATATTTTTTTTTTTCCATCTGACAATTAAAGTATCTCACTTACAAAATACTTAAAGCTTGTACTGGGGGCAATACAAATTTGCTAAAATTTGTTAAATTTCCTAAAAAGACTATACATCAAAGATCACGTATATCAAAGATACCTCAGAAGACGGCAGTAGGAAGCCTGGCTAAAATTTTTTAAACGAACAAGTATATTTTTCGTAGCAGCTGCTTTTGCTTCCGGTTCATTCTTTTAATATCGTAATGGAGCAAATACAAATCTGCCGCGTTAGATCCAGCGACGTATAAAGTAAATAAAAACTTGAAAGCTGCATACTTGTATGTTTCATTACTTTTACTCGTCCAGTATTTTTCGCCATGTTGCAACGTACCCCCTCGAGATATGTATTACGCGATAATCCGTAACATAAAGAGTAGCTAAATTAGCTCATTGGTTATTAAATTGCTGCTTCCAATTTTACGTCAATACATTAAATTTTTCCCATAACCACGAAAAACTTTATTTATTAAAATAAGGAAGAGGACACTTTTCGTCGTGATAAAGTAAAAAGGTACACCAATTTTTTTCTATCTCTCTCTCTCTCTCTCTCTCTCTCTTTATGTGTGGATGTGTTTATACGCACTAGCTAAAGAAACCAAGACTCGTTCATTCGAAAGAAATGCCATGAACGATGATGGTTTTTCGGCAGACAAGATAAAAAAAGTTAAACGTAAGGGTACTATCGCTTTATGTGTGGATGTGTTTATACGCACACTTTTCGTCGTGATAAAGTAAAAAGGTACACCAATTTTTTTCTATCTCTCTCTCTCTCTCTCTCTCTCTCTTTATGTGTGGATGTGTTTATACGCACTAGCTAAAGAAACCAAGACTCGTTCATTCGAAAGAAATGCCATGAACGATGATGGTTTTTCGGCAGACAAGATAAAAAAAGTTAAACGTAAGGGTACTATCGATATAAAGGTCTTAGCTTTTTCCAAAGGGGTGGATGGTAGTTTTGTCGCTACTTTCTATTTCTTTTTTTATATCCCTGCCACTTTTCTCCCCCTCTTTTACTCCCTCTCTCGTTCCCCCCCTCTCTCTCTCACTCACTCACTCCCTCACTTGGGTTTCCTCATTGTAGCCTCCCCCAGTCAAAACCACCCCTTCCTGGATTTTCTTTCATGTTATCAGGGAATCTCGTGTCTTCTCAACCCTCGATGCAGGGATACTCGACTAGTCTACATTCATCTTCCCTCTGATGACCTCCTTCCTGCGTCGTTTATTTTTGTCTCTCGTGTCGCGCTTGAGATTCCTACGCCTCTTTAGACAACTACGAAAACTCAGACAAAGTCAACCCTCTCCCGCCAACCACCCCGAGGATGAAAAAAATGTATGGCTTCAGGAAACAACGTAAGCGCGATGATCTCGAAATTTTTTCACGAACATCAGATATATGGAAATCGTTAAAAAATATTTAATTATATCAAATACACAATATATATGTATAATATCAAATAGCTCTCGGATATCTTCCAAGCGAGTAGCCAAAGCATCCCAATGAATCAACCATAATTGCTATAGCAGCCCCTAACGATCCCGTTCCGGACAGAAACCACGAAAATCGTCGGATTGACCGCAACCACTTATACAAGCTCATCGAATTAGAACGGTTCACCCACAAGCAGGCTTTAACGGAAAATGAAGTTTCGCAGGAACGATCGCTCGTAGCCCTATTCGCGGCCATAATTGCTCCTGAGTCGAACCGCGGTTAAATTGCGTAACCGTGACAAACAGAGCTCCCTAAACCACACGTCAGATCCTATCCAATTGTTTCGGGAGTCACGATAGCTTTCAGTCACTGCATGGAGTCGAGAGACCTCCATAGCTGCCATAGATCCAAATTGATACTAAATTGGCTTTCATCGAATGAAGATTATTACCCTCCATACGTGTACGAGCTATTATTAGTAGCAATATTGTTATGAACTCATCCTGACCGAGTACTCATATGTCCTTAATGTCCCATATGTCTGACCACGCGTGTGCCGATACTACTTAGAGTCGGACACGTGGTTCATTTCGAACGTTAACTCTCTTACAAAACTACTCACTTATCCTGATTTTACGTCGCAGGTCTCCTCTGACTATTCTTTCTGTTTATCCTTCCTTGTTCCTAAGGTCCTGTCATCCTTCTCAAGTACTCTTCGAGTTCAGTTCTAGAATTTTGATATGCCATTTGACGTTTGGACGCCTGAGGAATCGTGTAATTTTGGTTAACCGTAAAGCCGGAAATCACTTTGCTGAGCTTGCGGCGAAAATTTCTCGGAGCTATTCTGTAAAAGCGTCTCTTGACATTATCGTGGACTCGCGGTGACAGTTCGGTGCGAAAACGATAAGAGTCTCCCCCGTCACCACGACCACTGAGCAATTAAAAATTTTAGATAAGACTTTTTCTTTACGAATATGAACATATGCTACATCGAAGACTTTAAGTGAACTCTATTTTGAAAATAATTAATGACGTCTCAGTAGAATTCAATATGATGGAATGTCTTTCGACTTTTTCACTCGTATGACGATGTCTGAATACCTATTACGCAGATGTAAAAAGCATGTATATATGTGGCGTAATAGAAAAACTATCTGGCAATGATAAAATTTTCATAGCATACAGACGTCCATACCTAGTCAACGGGAGAATTAACTATTCCCTAGTAGAATAATCTTTAGTAACGAAAGCCTAGCAAAGGACGGGAAAGACCAAAAGGAACAGCGCATCGGATTTTCTTTCTCAAAGGAATATATCGAAACGTGGTCGCACATGAATGCCTTTGGCTTCTGGCCTGAGTCACATATCGCTTCGCACTATACGTACGTATGTGTCACATGCTTCGTACCTTATATACTAGTAATATATTATACTGAAATATATACTATATATAATACATGTCTGCTTACGCTAAAGGAAATACCTACATGGAGCAAGAGTATCAAGACTTGTGAATATTTGAAAGAAACATCGATTTTCTCTGTATCAGAAAAAAAATCGATCGATTCGTATTTTTTATAGATTAAATTAAATTAATTGTCGTATCTGAATTTTTCGTAAAATTAAACAATTTATGTAAATACGTGTGGTAATATTTTATTGATAAGTTATCAAATGATTATAGGGAAATTTCGTACTCGATTAATAATATCGACTGACGACATACCAGCCACTGTACAGGTTAATGGTTACATGACGCGTTTCATAATGGATTAAGGGTAGATCGGGGTGCTGGCTGCTGACAGGAACGAGATGAAGGGTGTGGCTGGTGTCCAACAAGTTCCCGGTAATGCAGAAAGCGTGTCACTGCGACAAATCCGTACTCAGAGTACGATAAGCAAGCGAAAAGGTAGACGAGGAATGAATGCTGAAAATAGAGGTTGAAGATTAAGGTAACATCGAGAATTTCACGAGAGCCTCTCGATTCTATTCCTTCGTGCGGTTCATACTTCTCAGAGTAATTCGTCCGGTAGAAGTGGATGGGAATGTTAATACGACAGTAAGTAATAGTGAAATTTCAATTTTATTTTATGGCATCTCGTAAATTGCAACTATCCCATAAGCAGCCCCCTAACCCCTTTCACGGATAAAGGGTTCGTACTTAAGTATCTCCATTTCCATAACATATGGCCCATTAAATGGGCCTTTTGTAATCTCGAGATTTTGGGTTTTAATGCCTATCCCCTTCTCCACCTGCGAATTTACTACCGCCCTTGCTTTAAATCCTTCTTATCTAACTTCGCCAAAGGTTATTATTACCTACTGGACATTGTATGTATATAGGTGTATTTGAAACTTTGTAGAATTAAATCAATTAGGTATTATTAATATTCTTTTATTTAGCTGCAATTGCGAAGCGATCAACAAAAATGATCAAACTGCTTCATTGTCCGTTGTCCGCTAGACAAAACCAATGCTGGTGAATATTTGAATACTTTCCAAGCAATTTACTAACGCGAAGGTATTTCCTCCTGCCACTACTATTTCCGCTTTTATTCTCCCTTTGGTACCTCCGTACCTCACGGTCTTCTTTTCTTTTTTCTTTTCGTATTTTCTTCTTCTACCATCGAAGCTCAAGCCAATCTACCTTACCGTTCTATACGTACTGTCTTCTTGGCTCTGTACTTTCCCTGAAACACGAGACAAAAGACAATCTGGTCTGTTGGAATTCTCGAAGCTTGAGAACTGTTCTTCTACGGGGCCTTCGCGCACCCTATTTATACGCTCCTGGATAGAAACTCACGATTCTCCAAAAGATTTAGCATACAATAGATAGCTATTGGTTATTGCCAGGCTGTTAAGTGAAATTGCGCGTATTTTCGAAATCGAATATTTCTTTCTCTCTCTTCTAGGTTCGTGTGTCTCTCTCTCAGTCTCTCTGTTAGAAACAAACTACCCCCGTTTCTTGCAGCAATCCTAAATAAGCCGTCTACCACCTTCAAGGCAGAGAGTTGATTAGAATCATTCGAGATTCTCATCGTATTAATTCAAAGTGTAGAAATTCCTTTGAACCTTCTAATGTCTACACCCAATTATTTCTCGTTCTCCGTAATATGAATATATAGTACACAGTATCTTATTCCACCTCCATAAAAGAAACATGTCGTCTCCGTACAGTTACCAATATCCGTCCACTAACTTAATGATGAACCAATCAACATTTATTCGTTTAGATCAATGGTGTATATAAAAACAAGATACAAATATGTTTTGTCAATACACATTTTGCAGAAAAGAAATTCACTTAGTTGAAATTAAAATATAATGGGATATAACCTCTAAATGTACTGAACGTTTAATCATAAAAATATCAGAGCAATCAATTGAATGATATAAGAAAACAAAGATATATGCATGTATATATATATATAATAGGAGTAAAAAACTGTTTTGTTAAAATCATCCAACAATGTGGTGTCGCACATCGTACTAGAAACGACATTCTCTTCAAAAACTCGAAATTGCACGTGAATATTCAGCGGATGCTGGGATACTAGAACTTTTAGCATAAAAAAGTGCACTTGTGCGAGCAGTGTTGTTTTATGTTTGCAGTGAGTTCGCCTTAAGGTGTCTGTTGTCCTAGTAAAAAAAATTCTCAGAATACTTTCCATGGGTTTCTTTTTTTTTTTTTTTTCACGGCACGCGCCATCTTAATGGTACCTTCATTTCCATTTTTTTCAGCTTTCTTTCCCTTTGTCCTTCGCTCCACCTTACTTGCAATTTCGTCCCCTTTCTTTTTTCTTTTTTTTTTTTAATATCCGCAATTTTCACCAGGCCGTTTCCATTCTGTCGCTGTGACATAAGCCTACGGGGCTGCTCGCCCTCGTGGCTCTTCGTAATTTCGTAGAGTCTTTCGCGGAGGGTGTAAAAGTCAGCAAAAGACAGAGAAGTAAAGCTATACCTCCAGGTGAGGGCTTATAGTCAGAGAAAATCGTTTAGCCATAAATTGCTCTTTATATTTCTCGCTCGATGCTCGTTTAATCGAGTCGTCCAAATAAATCTCTTCTTCACAGTAAAAAAAACCAGAAGTGGAAAAAAATGGATGGCAGAAAAAAAACAAAAATCTAAAAAAAAATTTAAACGAGCCTTTGAACTGCGCGATGTGTTTTCACACGCGTTCTCATGTATGAAGGCAATAGCCGTGATAGAGCGATGTGAATGAAATGCGGATTACATTTTCGATATGATTAATTCATGGAACCAACCTCCCCCCCCCCCTGCCGATGATTCAAGCCCGTTACGCGACCCCAAGCGCTCCTAATGGATGTTTGGTGGACGAATCGGGGTAAACACCGTTGCAAAAACCTACACACTATATGCAGGCCGATCTCGACAAGTACTTTTTAATGACACATCTAAACGAAATCTACTTTACCGACGTAAATCTATTTCTAACAACATATTTTTCAATTCAGATATGATCATCGTAATGTCAATTGGCAGCCAAACGGAATTGATTTTTGACAGAACAAAGTTACATCACTAATTGTAGTCGCTGTATGAAAATCACTTCGATGACAAATCGTTGTTTCCTTCGATGAAATCCCCCAATCTCAAAATCTACGTGTGTACATGAAACCCGTGAAAATTGTAACATCACTCTACGGGATGATCCTAACGTGAAAACGTCCTTGATTCAACGCCATCAGTCATGGCGAGGAGGATTTCGATTAAACGTCCAAGCGTTACGGACAATTTGTGTAAGTGTCGTCGGGGCTTTTCGGATCTGCATCTGAAATTTCAGTGTCGAGCATCCGATTAAAAGCCCCCGTTTCGATGGTGGTACATTCCAATTGAGGTTCTACCCTTAATCCAATAGTACGCGAAACGGATCTAAAACCCTTCCATCGTAAAATCATGGCTCAGGATTGGCCAGTGTCCCGATACCCATACTAATACCCATTATCATTGACAAACGATTGAAGTCTCCTATCCGTTTTAATTTGTTACAGGAAATGCGAGACTAATCAGGTCTTCGTTAAAAATCAACACACCTACTGCATAGACACCTGTCGCGAGACTACGATGTGCGGCGAGGTTATAGTTCCCGAAGAACATCTGGACGTGAGTAATATTGTGATTAATTAAAAGCATAATTTATACATTATAGAGTCGGCCAATTAAATTTAATACATAATCACGACCCTTTATTATATCACAGACATTTTTCGAAATATTTTTCCCATCCTTTAATATACTTTTACGACTGCCAAGTGTCTTTCTGTTATTCTTGCCACTGAGTTAGAATTAATTAAAAGTGGCTGTCATGCCCATTAACAACCTCTAAACGTCACGCACAATTTTCGATATGGAATGCCCCCGATAGGTACATATATCTAGGAAATGTGCGTGCCAAAGCACGAGGTAGCCTATGCGTGATGTAGTGTGGCCCACGTGACTGTGTGTACAGATTAAAAATACAATGAGTAGCTCATTGGGCTATCGTAATTATTAATCAAATTTGCTCACGGAAACCACGCAGTCACCCCGTTGTAAAGCAAGACCGTGTTCTCCATTAGGAGCTATATATATATATATAACAGCTACGGTAACAAAATAGCCAGGATGACTTATTATCGTGTCAAGATTAATGAGTAATATAAATTGTGTCCACTTCATCAGCTTGCTCCGTTCGATATCATTAACAATATATTTTTATTGAAAGAGATTAAATCATCTTCCTTTATGTACTATGTTAATGTAACATTGAAATAATTATCCTCTGTAAATTCATATATTACTTCAGTAATAACAATACGTACTTAATTACTTATATGCTGGCAGTGAAAGAAAACGAGTAACGAGTCTAGACGGCATTTATATATGTAGTTATAAAACAACGTTAATCCACCTTCATTAACGTCATTAAATGATAATTCAGTAACGAATCGGATGCTACTGAAAAATATCTGACTTTGCCTAGTTAGTTCAAAAAATAGTACGTCAATTCGAAGGTTTGATAATTGCCTAGAATCCAAGTGAAAAAGGATCAAATACATATGATAGTAAGGTTTACGCCATAATGGGAACTTCGTTCACCTCTTTTCCTCACTATTTCGCTCATCTTATTTCCGAGGATTACTTTGAGTTGTGTAAGGGTCGGCTATACCGTGATACCACCCTCGCACTTTATCTAAGAAGAAGCGCGTGACGGCGCAACAGACCTCTATAATTGGAAGATGGCTCGTCGTCTTCTAATAAGAGTACCACTCCAAGGAAACCTTATGGATACGAACGAGAGGACCTCGTTCCTTTCTCTCTTTGGGTCCTGAGAAACAAAACCCAGAATAAAGGAATTGCGTCATAGCTGAATTTCTCACGCAGTTGCCTCAGGGAGTATCGTATTCCTCTTTTATGAAGGAAATTGACCCACCCGGAAGGAAATCAATAGCCGAATGAACTGTTTGATATTCGATACCCTTATACAATACGATATATCTCTGTATATAGGCCTACTGCGATTCGCACCCGGAAATTGAATTAAAATCCGATCCTCCATTATAATGATAATGAAATGAAAGTATCTCAAAGAAAAATGGCTCGATATTAACATTTTCTTTTTTCATATTTTTCACATTACTTAGGTATGCAGAACGTGCAACGCTACGGGACACGAATGTGACGAAGCTAAAGGAAGTCAAGCAGGTCCTGGCATCGATGGTGCCGACTTTGTATTCTACGTTTCAGCCGTGCAGACCGAACGATGTCACAAAGGACTCACAGTTGCATATGCTGCACACTGTCAGCAGGAAGCTGCCCTCGATCGGTAAGAATCGTAATGTATTTTCTTAACTCGTCACCGATTACGAAAAATTTGAGAGCTAACGTACGTCACCTTCGGCCGTCCACCCTTCGTCCATGCATCCGCATGCCAGACGGGCGCGAGTCAATTTTTTTTTTTCACCGAGAACTGTAAAGCCTCGACTCCGCGAAATGAGAAACGCGACCGTAGGTGCTGATCCTTTGGATCGCGTAGAATCAGCAAACGCAACTGGATGCACGAACGGGAGCGAACGGTTACGGAAATGCACGACCGCTCAGACTGCTAGGTTGGGGTAGACAAGGTCGGAGTGAGCGTCAGGTAAATAGTGCCGGAAAGAGAGAGCAACTGATCGAGAACGTAACAGAGCGAATCGGAGATATAAAATCGAAATCCCTTTACCGATTAATAAAATGGGAATACTCACAGGAGCTGATTCAGCTGATCCGTGATGGCCGAGAACTGCATCCAGGGGACGCTCGGGTGGGCACTGCATTGCACCTCCGAAACATACGCGAGAATGTCCGATAGTGGATACCGCGGGAACCACACAAGCGAGAACTTTCTATGCCGTATAGGAAACACAGTTAGAAAAACTATCAAGGAATAGCACGGGAGCGCGAACCAACTCGAGGCACCCTGATCGGTGTCCCAAGAGAGACTGCTTTGACAGTAGTCAAATTCGCGAAATAATCATTCTGATTTATCGGGATCTTTATAGCCGATAACTCTTATCCTTTCCCCTGGAGTCGTCCCTTTAAACTAAATCGAGGGCGATCCTTAACAAATCGGTACGTGACTCTTGGAGATCCTCCAGGGCATCGGGCGACAGCTGGGCAGCACATGCTTAACTCCGTTCAGGAAGTTCCTCCTCTGCCCTTAACCGTATCAAACTCTGCCCGCTCTGCAGCCCTTTGTCTCTCTCCAGCGGGGCGCCGGTGTCTCACTCGGAGTTCTGCCGGTCCGTGGAGACGTCTCCGTTGGGTCCTCTCATCTGCCGGCAATTCGTACGTGGAGAATTATCTCTCCACAGCAGATTCGAGTACCTTGACCTCGGCTAAACAATAACAAACCTTTCCGAGAGCATTGGCGTATCTATACCAATCAACCCGAGAGCGTAGCTTCTAATCAAGGTGGCGACCCGAAGGGAACCAGAAAGCCAGAATGTTATCTAAATCGGTAGGTGGAGTCGCCTTGTGACCATGAGTCGAAAAATCACGTCACAGAATAAATATTTGAAAAAATGTATATACTTGAATATTAAAGATACTATATATATTTCAGTCGAAAAGACCCGTGTTGGTTATAATTTGATTGATATAACGAGGAATTTATATACCGTACATACCGTTCGAATTTTTTATTTTCACTATGTGGAGACTCGTTACGTAATATTTGTCCATTGAGAATGGTGCATGATTTTATTATTGTCAGGTTAGGTCGATTAAAGTACAAATGAGTTGTCGTAGTAGAGAAACTGCTCTGAGATTGCGAGAACGATCCCTGCTGCTCGTTAATAATAATAAGAGCCCTTCGAAGCGACCTTAAAACGCAGTCAAGTGAAAACGTCACTGTGCCTCGCAGAGAATATATATAAAATTGACACGGCACCTCCTCGTTATTCGTTATACGTAAAAATGAGCACGTGCAAACAGCGCGAAGCTTTTTATATAATTAACTTTTTTTTCCATTTTCTCCCAAGATATCATGTCCTAGTGGTAATAAGGTTCATATGCTTTCTACTATGTACGTATAAACTGACATCCCTACGCTCGTCTTTCTCGTTAAAATTCGTTCCGTTTCATCCCTTTTTTTCTCTCTATCTTCATTTATTATTAGACACGCTAATTGACGGTGCTGCTTTAGTATTTTGTCCTCGTGTACGAAAACGTATGCAGGGAATAATGATTTCAGGCAGATTATATAAGTCTCCATGGTTTAAAGTGAACAATGAGATTTATGAACGGCAACTTGTAATTGGCAGGACATCCTTTAAATTCTCTGTAACGCGTCACGTTCTCCTTAATCTTTCTAATAAACGAAAAGCCAAAAATGAACGATCAAACTACACGTGAAACACAATCTGAAGGCAAATTATGTAGGAAGTGAAATTTGCATTATCGATCAAGCCACGAGATCGTTTGAATCTACCTAATGAGAATTCTAATCAGAAGCCGAAATGCCGTAGCGTCAAGCTGACTTTAATTAAAGCACACGATGCGATTGGGCATATCGCAAAATCCTGGAATTCGAGATTGGCTGTGGAGAGAAGCCTTCATTAGATATGCCATATTAAATAGGCCTGCCAGTCCTTGCCAACCATGGTAGTACCAAACTATAGGCACATGCAATAAGCAGCAACACAATGTAGCGCTGGAGCCGTACAATTTGTGAGGTTGTGTATACAATCTCTTTCTCGATATATGTATATATGTAGAATATTCTTTGATGACTCTTCTATATCGTTCTCTAATATCAATTTGAATTTTCATCACTATAGACATGTCTACATGGAATTCAATTTTCTCCACAGGCCAATAGCTGGTCACGCCAATCTATGTCCGGAGAGCATCAGCACGAAGCCTCAAGAACTGGAGACCCTGTTAAGTACAGTGAAGCACGAGATCCTTCACGCCTTAGGTTTCTCTGTCAGTCTTTACGCCTTCTACAGGGATGAAAATGGCGAGCCAAGGACTCCCAGGAGATCGGATACTGGGAAACCAGCTCTCAACGAGAAGTGAGTCCATCCATCTTGAGAAATCTTATACTTAGTGGAAAATTATATACTCTTGTCAGACGGTTCTAGAATCCACATTCCACATTTTTTACCTTTGACCCTCATCATCGTACTCTACTCAAAATAATTCCTCTGGTGGGCTATGCATATGTATGAGACGCTTTAAGACTGTTTTAATGTAGTTGAAATATTTATGATTGAGTATTGACACAATTAAAATGAAGAAAATTTTCTCAAACGAATTTGATGATTCTGTTACTTCTTTCTGAAATTCCATTTTCCACTCGTTCTCTCCCCATTTATCTGCATGCGACACCCTTCTGGAATCGTTATTTGAATTCATTCATCATGTTGATCTGTGGATGGGCTCTGTCAAAAACAGCGTTCAGATTTCTAGAGACGCGTGCGCGCTTCCAGCATCCATCTCATCCTCTGTATCAATCATGCAAGACACATCTGTCTCCGTACGGGTATTTTCTGCACGTACGTGAAACGATTCACGTAAATTGATCCGACATTGTTCTGACAATGGATTAATCTGTCTATTAATCAACTGAATCCTTGATTGATCACTTCTTTGATCCTGATCAGTAATGCTATAGAATTAATTATCGAGTCTGTTTTTTATCCTTAGACTTCAAACTCATCAGTGGAGTAACGATACTATCATGACGATAATCAGACGTAACTGGCAGGTTCGTGATGGAGCTATTGAGAGAACTATGCAAATGATTGTTACTCCAAGGGTCCAAGAAGAAGTACGAGCTCACTTCGGTTGCGACACCCTCGAGGGAGCCGAATTGGAGGATCAGGGCGAGGATGGCACAGCTCTTACTCATTGGGAGAAAAGGGTTTTCGAGGTTCGTATTCAATAATTCTGTCTGTTATTTATATCTTGCTTTTATAAAATTTAATTTATTACCTCGATGGCAAATTTGATAAGAACTTAATTAAATTCTGTAATTGATTTGCATTCCCTCAGAACGAAGCCATGACTGGGACTCATACACAGAATCCAGTATACTCGAGAATAACTCTTGCTCTTATGGAAGATACTGGCTGGTACAGCGCTAATTACTCAATGGCCCAGGAACTTGGTTGGGGTAGAAATCTGAAATGCGATTTCGCAATGAAGTCCTGCAAGGAATGGATCTCTTCTAAGTCTTCCCGCTTGTCGTGAGTATCCAATTAGTATCATTAAGCCTCTGTCACTTTGACGTAACAAAATTACTTTACTGTAACTAATTAAACTTTGATAAAATTTAATCAACCACCATAATACCTTTTATACCTCCACTAACAATGGATACAGAGATGAAAAGTAAGTCGAGCAAACTTAAAGTCACACCTCAAACATTTTTTAGTCCCACTGTCAGACTTCTTGATAAAAAATTCTCATCGTTTCTCCTTCTTTCCAGGGGTAAGAAGATCCATCCCTTTTGCAACAAAGTCAAACAGGATCCTTTGCAAACTGAATGCACTGATGATAGGAGTTCCGTTGCATTATGCAACTTGGTTGAACACTCCCAACCATTGCCTAAGAAATATCAGGTGCTTTGAAGAAACTTTCACATCCTCTTTTGTTCTGGCAACAACAATCTAGTACTTATTCACCATTATGTTTACTCGTAGAACTTCGATTCCATACCGCATGTACCACCTGGCAAGGAGCGATACTACGGAGGATCCGTTTCTCTAGCTGACTACTGTCCCTATATCCAGGAGTTTACCTGGAGGGCACGGAATATCGTTGTCAGAGGTTCCCATTGTCTCTACGAGGAAAACAATCCGCGTAAGTTCAAAAGCAACTTCCATTTTTACCATTAAGGAATATTCTCATGAGTTGAATGAAAATCTTCTGCAACCACCTTGATCTTACAATTACTCTTCTAGATTACTAGAAGCACAACGTGCTATTTTGCACCTTTTGCGCTTCAACAAGTAGAGTCAACAAGTTTTAGTCTTCTGAAAAATAATATATTGCTTCATCCTATCGTTTCAGATCCTGAAAAGAATTTTGCCTTGGAAAAATATGGCACCCACTCGAGATGCTTTGACCACACTAATCAAATGTGGGAAGAAAGAACGTGTAAGCATGCCAGACAATGGCAGCATTGGGGTTCAGGATGTTATCAATACAAATGCGAAGCTGGTAGACTCCACATTATGGTGGGTAACGTTAAATCAAAATGGAAATACTAATTGTAATTACTGACTAACGCTAGTAAGAAGCTCTTATATTCATCTGAAACTTTTTAACTGAGATTTATTTATATCACAGTGCTATGATATAATTTTATCCTAATACCTCTGAATCTCAATATCATTAACTTCCTTTATAGGTAGCGAACTATACATACACTTGCTATCATGCTGGACAAGAAATAGCAATCAGGATAATGCAGAACGAATGGCTGCACAAGGGAGCTTTGATATGTCCACCCTGTAAAGACATTTGTCAGGTGAGTTTCTGGATAATTTCTGAAGCATCTTTTTATTCCGAGAACTTACTGAAGTTAATAAATGTTTTTTTTTCTTATTATTTTCTTTTAAATCCAAATACTAATCGTATAATGGATTTTTGTTTTAGGCGGAACTCAAAGCCCAGGGCCAATTCTGTAAAGTAGGCGATGAACATCCGCCAGCGACGTATTATCACAGGGACAATCTTGACTGCGGATCCGCAGGATTTATAATTAACCTATCTCTACTTATGGCTATGGTAGTTCTACCTGTTGTCAGATGATCTGCCGTTGAGTTCTAGCTAATTTTCTATTGTTATCGAGAGAGATACCTATAAAGATCATCGTTATGAAAAAAAAAAGAATCATGCATCGTCGAAACACCGTGAGAAGGAATTTAAGTCCTAAGACAAAACGTGAGCTTGACTTTAATCTGATATTAATTTCTTTTCATGAAATTTCACGAATTCCATCCTCCTATTTATATAATTGATTGTCGGACTCTCAGGTTTGTAAAAGTCACGACTGACATGAGTCGCATCACTAATACCTTTAGACTTTCAAGTTTTAAATGGGCTTATATTTAAAGGTCCTTTCTAGAAAGTAAAGCTGCCTATCGAGTGAAGTATGATTTTGAAAGAGAAAAGTGTACAATGGATTTTTTCGTAGAATTATGCTTTAAAATTTTCCTATAATACGAGGTACACAGTGCTTCTATATATATGTATATTGTGCTTACAATATTATTGTTAAGCGCATTCTTTTTTATTGCGTTGCCTCAAAGATACCTAATTTCTTTTTTGAAAATCATTGTACTTGGACAGCTCTTATGAATTTCGTAAAGCGCATAAAGATTATCGATTCTATGGTGCTTGAACGTAATTAATTTATGCGCAGCACGTATTTTCTTAGATTCAAATCGTGTGGAGCATGAAACGCCATATCGTAAAGATATTAAAAAGTAAATAAAAAACGTGGAATACGATAAGACGTTTTCAACGAGTATAAATATTGAACATTACGTTATAAATCTAATATACGATTATAAAGATAAAAAGAAGTGTAAATAATTAAGAGAACAAATGAAAAACATAAAAAGAAGAAGAGAAGAAAAAATGTTACTATTGATCAATCGTTGTCGCACTTGAAGTGTAAAATCCAATTAATCGAACACACGATTTTTAAGCGTTACGACATTTAATTTTTTAATCAAATTCCCACTCTTGCGTTATTATATACCGACACACGCACAGTAAAAATTACACTCAATTTCGTTAAATGTTCCAGCCATGCATGAAGATCAATTTCACACATGGGCTTTTCAATGCTTTTAAGATGAAATTTGTCTGATAATATTTCCAAGCAAATTACACCAGTGTTTTCTTCGAATTTGAATAATTCTTCCTGTGCGTACGAAACTTGTGAAATTAAATTAAACCTTACGGTACAGTCATAACCTCGAAATTACGTTATAATTGGTTCCGCCATAGACGACGTTAGTAAAAATGATATAAGTCGAGCACACATTAACATCGAACGGATGAGGAGAGTGAAAATTAAACTACGTTAAAAGACGTTAATACGTAATCACCCAATCACGTAAGTCCGGGAGATAACTGTATATTGATTATAAATTATAAGGATAAGCCGAAGTACGCGACAGCTGAAACGATATTATTTTGTTGTCGTCTTGCGATTGATCCCTATCGATGTATTACAGGTCGAGGCTCGCTCCACAGTTACAATACTTGGTACGGAATTCGATCGATTTCTTTAATTATTGTTTAGAAATTAAACATTCTTTAGATCTTAAGTTAATTTTGTAAACTGTAGAGGTTATCATTCCCGTTCGAATTTCACACGTTGGCAAAATACCCAGATTCTACATCAAATGCATTAAGTCAATACAGTATATTCATGAAAACTTGAAGATAAAAAGTGAACAAAATTCTAATGGAACTGTGAAAGTTGTATTATAATTCCAAAATATATATATAGTTCTTTCACGACAATAGAAATTGATGTAGGAGCCATGTTTTTTTACTTTCAAAGAGTCCCTCAAACATCACTCGCTATTCGTGGACCGACTGTAGTAATTCCAAATTCCAAAGTCAATGTGGGAGCATCGCTTGCAGTCCTAAATTAAAATAATAAATATCGTACCAATAGATGTATCTCATTAATTTTTGTACAGAACAACTAATTGAGTACGAAACAAGTGGCTCAGCGCTGAATCTTTTGGTAAATATCCTTGAAGATTCGCTGCCATTGTAATTACGTTCTATTCGACTTAGATTATCCTAAGGGAACTATGGCGAATACTTTACTGGTCTATGACCTTTTCCCTGCCATGTATCATAAATCGATTGAAATAAAGTCATTTTTTAAATAAAAACCGGATGCGAAGGGCACACTTATGAAAGAGTGTAAAATAACTATCGATTAAGAAAATGAATAGTGATTCAATTAGGAGTCTCCGTGATAAATTGTACGTCCGTAAATGGCGGACCAATACAGTTATATGCTTATTAAAATCGATAAAATGCTTAATGAATTTTTTTAAATCTTCCAATAATTTTAAAATTTCGATGACCGACTTGTTCTTGATAATAATGCACCAATGAGATTGTCCACATCTTGTCCCTGTTAAAGCAAGACTTCCGTAACCAGTGACAATACACTAATGACGTAACGAACTGTTGCATAAAAAAAGGGGGGAAACGACAATCGATGAACGGTACCACCCCAAAAATAATCGTTCCCAGCGTTTTCTCGAAGATTCCATGCAAAACCGCCATGACAACACTAATTCTTATTATTGAATTGATCGATGTTCTGTATATACAAGGTGAATAAGAGATACAAATCTAGAGGTATAGAGATTGGGACAACACAGTGAACAAGTACTAAGCACTGCGTAACCAATTTAACCTATAAGACTATTTTCCCCTTCTGTAAAATGATGGCGATCAGATTTTTTGATATCACATATGTTTTTTAATAAATTCTGTATTAAAATAGAAGTGTTGAAACTCTGCGGTAAAAGTCCAATGATTTTAAATTTGATAAAAAATTCTCGATTCACCCTTTATATACACAGTAACACTATGCGAAATACAATATTATTATGTGCACGTTGTAATCGTTAACTTTTCTTTTCCTAAGGTTTTGTGCCATTCGTAATTAGGGTAACGATAATTACACGCTAAGTTAAAGGGACCCATTTGTTTTACTCTTTATTGTTACCTAGTGTTTGATAGAGTTTAAATAACACATGCTAGATTACTCGTGAGTCCTATTGTTTAGGAGCGAGCGTTAATTTATACATTGTCAAAATCTCTTACGCATTAATGTAGCAATTAAAACAGATTCCTCTATAAGAATTTATCGGAAGCAGTAGAGAATTTTCTGTAACACTGTTAAAATATTGCTAAAAACGACAAAACATTTGTGACATCACAACAAACCTTTTTCTATTGGTGAAAATGCTTCTATAAAGATGTTGCTAATTATTACTTTAATCGTGGACTCTTTGTTACGTTTCTTTCTATTATGAAGGATATACAATATGATACTGAATATATTTAACAATTTTGTAAACACTTAAAAGAGACTTAATGATTTTTCAACGCGTCGTCACTTAAACGTCTGAAAACCTTCACTGTAGGCCTGTTAAACTTTTAAACAAATTATTTTTTTACGCCTTTGCGCCATCTCGGACACGCCAATGAACAGAACAGTGAATTAATGATGTAATCGATATCGAATATTTGTTATCGTAGAAGAAATATTCAAAACTAAGATGTAATAAAAGAAAATACCTATCTCTCGTGTGCCTATTTACATGCTTATAACACGATGGTACTGCGACATTGAATATATTAAAAAATATGAGTATATCGGATTATTGTATTACAATGTGAGATCTACTTTGAAGTGCTGAGATTTTCTATAAGGCTTGTATAACAATTAAATGACGCGTTTTATCGAAATTAATGAATCAGTGTCCCATATCAGCTGTGCCAAACGGTGGAGGGTTTAATGACGTTTGAACATTATATGAAACATTATTTTGTATCTTAGTTATTTTAACTTTAATACCATTCCTTTTTTTATTTTTTAATAAACTATCCACATGTGGATAGCACTAGACAAGGAAATGATTATAGAGTGTGATATTCGTACCGATCCTAGAGACACGTGCTGGTCGAGTCAAAACTATATTAATCATGACTCTCACGTCACTTGGATCAGTTTGACCTTTACAATCTAATTTTATACGTCAATTTACACGAGAAATAGTCTGCGTATATCTTGTAAACTGACGTTAAGAATTAAAGATTAAAAGATAAAAACTATAGAATTACATAATGCTGTATAAAATGTATCTAATGTTTGTTAGTTTTTATGAATGACGAAAACTGTATACATGAAATTAATAAATAATCAAATCCTCATAAGCGTCGAGGACTTTAATAATTACTTTAATTACTTTTTATTACATGTATAAAGGTCAATTGTTACTCTTCCCTTACACACCTACATAATATGGAATCTCCATTCAATATCGAAAAAGTCATTCTTAACATTAGATTTACCAGACCAGTCATTTTGACTGGTCGTGCAATTTCAATTCAAAATTCCTACTACATATATCATTTGATATCAGAAATGATGTTATGACTTTTGTAACTATAAGTAGAGAACACATTTTATAAACTTAATGTTATTTTATATACATTAGTAACAAATATAATTGTTGTTATTGACATTTATACCAGTACCAGTCAAAATGAATAAATAGATGGTAAATCTAGGGTTAATGTAACTATGAACTCGCATAAATAAATATTATTTTGCTATTGCACTATGAAACAAAGAATCACCATGAAATATATTGCACACAGTGAGAAATCATTATCGCAAGCCTTGCACTTTTATTTTTAAATAAATTACGAAACATTATCATCCAGACTAATTCGTCGTTGGAGCTTCAGCCAGTGCGGGTTCCTCAGATGATTGTTCGGTTTCGCGTAACTCAGTGCTCTGTTTCTCCACATAATTATTAGGATAATTTTGATATTCTTGCTCATTATATTGCCCATCTTGATAACCAACCTCAGCCTTATATTGATCATCTTCAACATATTGTTGTCCCTCATACTGACTCGGGTCGTATTGATCATATTGATACATTTGTTCATTGTACGCAGGATCCAAATTTTGATCTTCCTGCTGATCATATTGCATCACATTTTGAGAATCATATCCTTCCTGATTAACGTTTTCCAGCACATCCGACGAGAGTTCCTGCTGCTGATTTTCTGATTCACACTGTTCTTGTTGGACGTGACCGCTTTGTACGTCATTTTCTGAATCAAGTTCCTCTTGATTTCTACTTACGGTATATTGTTCGTTTTCCGGATTTTTAAGTCTTTCATTAAACCTTTGTGCGTCTTCTTTTGTTGGATCCTTTTTCGAAATGATTGATTGTACTTCTTGTGGCTCAGACGTTCTTTCAGACAAGTTTGCTATACCTTTATTGTACATTTGTGCTTCCTGACCTAGTTTTTCGGATACTCCTATATAAAAAAATAGGATTTATATAGATACAAAAGATTGGAATATACATAATAGTATAATTATAACATAATATTATACCTTTATCATTATTAAGCTTGTCTTGTATCTTGCTCGATAAATACATTATGTTGGTTTGTAGGCTGTCCATTTCTTCCCTAAACAAACATAAATCTAGTTTAATTTCTAAATCATAAATACGAATCACATTCCAAAGAAATATTAAGAGAAATCGTGATGCGTACCTAACTTATACCTAAATACCAATAATTAAATAATTAATCAAATATTAATTAATCGTTTATCCTCTCTCGTATTTATATCCTCATTGCCAAGTAACTACCCATTTCTGTATTTCGTATAAACGATCGTACATGCTATTACTGTGTTGATAGAGGCACTTTGATGGTCTCTGCGCGACCCGACTTCTTTTTTGGAACAACTTTTACTTTGAGATCAACCTTAACAGTGCGTTTCTTGTTCGAAGGCGATGCGGTTATGCTGATTGCGCCCACATCTCCCTGACTGATCCCCTCTGTCAACACAGAACAGCCCCAGATGAATTTCGCATGAGGGAAAAGTTTACAAAACAGTTTGAACAAATAGTAGGAGTATGATCATTAAGTAAGTCTTTCTGTAAAGCTATAAGCCGATGTAAATCGTATCCTCGGTTCTGAGACCCGTGCCTTGTATATTACATAGGAATATTTTGTTCACCGATAAATTAGTCAGTTAGACTAAACAAAATGAAAAGCGAGAGAATACTTGTGTCTCTGGCTGTTAGCTTCCAAACGATGTGTGAGAGATTGGCATTCGGCGGTCAGTTGAGAGACGAGCGAAGCCTGATTGGCCATAGCATCTTCTAGAGTGGCCACTGTAGCAGCTAGGAAATTTCATCCCATAAGTCAATTTCAAATAAATTGACTAATTTCATCTCAGCCCATGCTAGGCATAATGTCAGCATGCCGATTTCCCACACAGATTACCGATAACCATTTAATCGCATTGAATAATTAATTTTGTTCATTGTCCTTAGCAATTTAATTCGATCTCCTCCACGAGAGCCTAACCTTAGAGACAATATACCTAACACAGGCATACCTAGAATGATACCTTACCATGCTTTGATTCCATGTTCATGATCATTGACGTCAGTTCCTTTTCATTTTCTGGTCTTGCTGATGAACCACCTGTCAAGGGTACAGCTTCGGAATGGATCATTTTGTTCATGCCAATCTGAAATCCCAATTTTTCGTAAAATTTTGTTTAATGTCATATCAATTAATAGGAATATAATCCACCTCTTTTTCGAGTGACGCTATCTGTTCGGATAAACGTAAATTTTCCCTACGGCAATGGACCAAGTCAGCATCCGCTCGTTCTAATCTCTGTTTGTAAGAATTGATTTCGGCTTGTAATCTACTCTGATCATGACGCGCCTGTCGTTCGCTACGCTCTGCTGATAATGTTGCAGCAGACACTTCCTGTTCCGCTGCATCCTTCTCAGCAACAGCTTGGCTTAGATCACTTTGCAAGCTTGCTAAATAGATAAATATAAAAAAGGTATACACATTTTATTTTGTTTTATTATCTCACAATTGTTGCAAATTTCCAATCGTGTTCAATACTTACATATTTTATTTTGTAACTCCTTCTTCAGATCATCGATCAATGCTTGTTTCTGAGCTAGATCTCTTCTCAAGTCAGCCAATTCTCTGCGTTGCTTTTCTGACTCTAGTTGAGATTTACTTGCAGCATCCCAATGAGATGCTATATCCGCCGATAGTTGCTCTACCTGCTGACTGTATCTACGCTCAACCTGATGTCTCTCATCAGCAACTCGTCTATTCGCCTCCTGTGCAGCTTCCCTTAACTTTTCATGCTGTCTATCCAGTTCATCACGAAGTCTCCTGATCTCTGCCTCTGCTTGTGTCTTCTCGAATTGTGCTTGTTCCACAATGTCAAGAGCGCGTTTTGCTTTTTGAGCCGTATCCGATTCCTTCTCTCTCGCAAGAATTAAGCTCCTCTGTAAATCCTCAAGTTTCCCTTCAATCTCACGCTTATCCCTTAAAGCCTGTTCCAATTGGGACTTCATTTCAGAACTTCCAGGAGTCGCACCGCTTTCGGCTAATCTCTTAATATTCGACTGATTCTCTTCCTGAGCTTTACGCAACTCCACTTTTGCCTGAGTTAATTGAGCCTCTAATTCACTGATACGCGATTCGAACATGATACTGGGACCTTCTAAGACCTTTTGCAACTTAACGCGCTTCCCTTTTGAATCCAAAGTATTCCCGTGGGATTTGTATTCCTCCGGATCTTTATTCTCCTCTTCGGAATTTCTATACTCGTCCAGCACGGATTTGAGGAAGCCATTTTTATTCTTATCATGCAGCGCATCGTTTTCTGCGACCACCTAACATTTCAAAAATTCCTCCAATACGTTCTAATACGTTCATAGCGATTTCTTTAATGCACCAAATTTTTTTATAATCTATATTCATTTTTAATACGTACCTCTCTCACTTTACCAAGCAAATTCGTAAGTTCGTCCCTACAATATTGCGATTCTCTTTCCAATTGTTCTATATACTCTTCTTGTCGTTCGATAAATGATGCTAATTCAGGTGGAGCACCTTGCTGATCTCCCGCTGACAGAACTAGATTACTGCATGCTTTTGCCAAATGTATATTTTTTGGCTGGGGCAAATAAGGACTTGCCCTGGGAGGTAAATTCCCATTGAATTCTTTCGTCCGAGAACTGTTGCTTAAAACACTTCTATCGTCAGTGTCTTCTTCGGATTCATTAATCCTTGGATTACTATCTTGGTAATTATCCCTGCTGCGACCAAACTTCCTGTATATCAAAAATCGAGGCTAAAGATAAATAACTAATCAACAATATAATTACGTATTAACCACAAATACGTTAACATAAAGCATATACCTTGGCAGAATCCTTGGAGTGTAAGATTCTGCCAACAAATACTTTAACTTTGAAACAGCTTCTCTATAAGCCATTTCCGTATAATCAGTCGGTTTCTTTTTAGTCGTATCGATTTTTTGAAATCCATTTAATTTTCTGCAAAACAATATCAAACCGTATGACAAATTATCCATAGAATAAATAAATGATTAACTAATCTAACAAAGTACGCAGAACAAAACCTCAATTTGTTATATATCATTAATAGTACCAATTACCAATTGATGCCAACTGTTTACTCACCTTGGTTTGAACCGTCTTGAGCGGCCATATCCGGTTTGATCGAAATTCAGCAAATTGGTTGTAGACTTTGGTTTTAAATAGGATCGAAGAGGAAGTCTTGGACGAGCCAGATACGTCGCTGAATTTCCAGTTGTTGCTGCGGCGCTCATCGAACCTCCGCTGAAACGACTTCGACGCGATAAGTTCGTTCCTAGCATTCTGAATCCACTCTGACCCTCGAATGGGTGTCCCGGGGCTACATATAAGCCAGGTATACCAATCGATTGCAGCAGAGTACACTCGCTCGTGCCTACGTTAATCACGAAACAGTTTCGTCCCTCGACGCCCGACTTCCACAAGGAAATCGAACTTTGGCTTAACGGGATGTAAGTGGAGCCTGGTGGTGAATCGCGTGCAGAGAAGCCATCCGTTCCTTCGAAGGGGACAGGCACCGTACCATCGTTTTCTATATTCGTGACTCCCAACGATTCCTTCGCGTACGAAAAATCTTTACTTTTACATCGTCAAATATGCCCTGATAATTTTGAATGTCCTTTCTCTGCCTTCTATTGTCTGTTAATATGTTAGCATTCAGTCTTACAGTTTACAAAGCTCATTTATAGTTATGGATGATAGATGCCCGAGATAACGCAAATATCCTAGAAACGTCTTCCTAGTCTTTGGAACGTCTATGAAATTTGTATAACTAATTGTTTCAGACCACTAGATCTTATACGGTATTTAACAAAATAAAGGTAATATCTATATCTATGTTACATTATGAAGTAATTTTATTCATGTCCAGACTGTCTGTTAGTTTTTAATTGAATACAGTGAGTGATGTATTATGAGCATGAAGAATATTTTGACTTACTATAGGCTGCAATTAGAAAATTACAGGTATACTATCTTGTATACAATAAAGCTATTGATGTACACGTCAAATAAAAATTCTTCCGTTTCTCTTTAACAATGTTTTATTATTCTGGACCAGTAATAGTTTTATTTAATTATTGCCAGGTCTGTATTTTTCATTCAATAACTATATTTAGAATCCAATATAAGAAATGGGAACAGAAGGTTTCGTGATTAGCATTTGTCTACATTATAAATGTAGATTACATAATATTTAATATTACAATATGTCATTAAAATCATAAGTTAAAACTTATCTAGTTCGTCTTTGTTGTTACAATTGTACATAAATAACGCTTGCGCTTGATGGTTGCATCATTATAAATTTAATAGACTTCATTTCTATACTTTCAAAATACCAGTAATCACATAAAGAATAACTACTAGTCTAATAATCGAATAAGCGCATATCCATACTGTGGATGGATTAGAAAACTGACATATTATAAACTGATACTCTGTAAGTACATCTCTTATAGTATTAAAATTGTAACAAATACAAAGCAAAAATATACATTTAAAAAAGATCTCTTATTATACTCTGGAAATTTTAACAATTGATGCTAACACTTATGTTCAAAGAATGTCTGTTACCCTCAGCATAACATATCAATATAGTACAGCCAGTACTATAAATTAGCGGTACAAATTTCAATTAATTATTTAACTACTATCTGTCATCAACTAATTAGAGCAGTACAATATATAGATTACAATAAAGCACTACTCTGCAGAGTCTTCTCTCACTACAGATCTCGCCATCACAGATGTATTTTCATGGACTGATGACTCTCTTGAATCCAAGGTCCTATAATCTAAATTTTATATATTGAGCCACTTAATAAAAAATATAAAAAAGAAAGTGATAAGGATAACATAAGTATATTAATATATTTTTATATTGCAAATGCATTTACCATTTTCATACGTAAATGGTTTGATAAAAAATATCACTGACAGTCCTACAACAGCAGCACCTCCACAGGCAAAACTTAGAACATCCCTGTAATAATTTGGACAGTCGTCAGAGCACCGCCTGGAAATTAAAAGTGCAATGAACAATGTAACACGGTACATAAAATTCCTATAAGACATAAACACAAACTAAACTCTTACAGATATTGAATTACAATAACAGCCAATCCGTTACAAAGCTTATCCGTGAAGCTCATGACACCATAAACAAAAGCACCACTTTCAGTACTTTGTCCGATCAAATCAGCAGTTATTCCAAGGCTAGTGACTAACATTATTGAACCCCCAGCGCCTATGTAGAAAGATCATTAAATTACATAACGCCAAGTAAGAAATGAACGATAACAGGATGTTTACAAATGCATTCACACATCTAAATAGCTATGAAACACGTAAAGTGAAATTCGAATATCAAGACTGCAAAACAGTTATAATTATATTCCATGTAAACGATACTGTAACTGTTTAAAGCACATATGTATATTATATTGTGTACGAATTAATTATTAGTAATAATATGATATGTCTATTTACCCAACAGTATAGAAACTGGATAGATTTCGTAAGTAACATAGGCATCGCCTTTACCAAACCATATCCATACGCAAGCACATACCCCTAACAATACGCCAAATGAGTACGAGATCTGTCTACCTAATTTTCTGTTAAGTCTTTCGATAATTAAAGACGTTACAAAGCTGCTGAGGAATATTGTTAAAGGCGTAATAGCTAGGGATGTTGCAGCCAGGTTCAACGTCTCTGTCAGGTATAAAGGTATATAAATCTGTGATAAATTTACAAATAATCTTGTTGGCATATAAACACACGCCACTTGATACAGCCGACTGTCTTTTAATAAAGTCGATGCCGTTCGTGTATTTCGTCGTAGTGGACCTAAGAAGTTGATCCAGGATTAAAATCAGATACTTAAATTTTAGGAATACACACTTAGTTTATTGTAACTCACCTGCAGAATCACTAGCAGCACCTTCTTTTACGTAAATATGGAATATGACTGATGTTAGAAAACCAATGGCTATTCCAAGAAATACAATGTGTTGAAATTTATATGCATCGCTTGGCCCTATTTGAGATTCTGGGATATTCTCATTAGTAATATGTAATACTCCCCACATGATACAATACACAAGTACATTTGAAAAGACAGTAAAACTATACCTGTTGTACAGAAAAGAAATATTAATTTTGAAAATATTTAGAGAATATTTTAAATGGTTACCTAATAGCTGTGAGTTCTGTTCTTTCATGTTCAGTGGGCGTTAGGTCAGGTATTAAAGATAAATGTGATATCTGGACTGCAGCCCAGCCAAATTGAAATATCACTACAAATGCTGCATAGTATATTAACTGGGCCCATTGGTGGGCACCTTCACACCCAATGCACGGTGAAAAAATAAATGGAAACGATAATAGAATGCATATTGTACCTGAATGTGAATCAGAATATTATTACATAATATTTGTGATCACATTATTACATTTATTATCATACACATTAAAGGTATTTACCATAACTGGTACTTACCGAACAAATGCCAAGTTTTCCTTTTACCATACCGACACAGGCAAAAATCATCATTCTTGTCTGAATGTAAACCAACGAATGGAGTGGCAAGAGCATCAGCTACTTGGCCAATTAGTAAAATCATACCTGACATAAAATGACTAAATCCCAGCACAAAGTGAAAAAATACTAATAAATATGTAAACCACATAGAGGCACAAATATCATTTAAGATATGTCCTATGCCATATGCTAGCCTTAGCTTAAGTGGAAGACGTCTGACTATTTCAGTATAATCATTTACCAATACATTTGTACTATCCTCCATTGTTATTTTATTTGTTACACCTAAAAATTACATATTCTTAGAAATAAAATTTGACCTACAGATAGCATTATAATTGGACCTTAATAAATTGGGTTCAATGAAAATTTTACCTTAATAAAATAATAAGAAATCATAATATAAATCTACCTACAATTTAAATAATTGAAATACATAAGTACCTTGAAGTGTTAAAGCAGTTTATTGTCAAGCATAACCTTTCCAACTGTCATCCTTTATAACGAAACTGCTGTGATGCATTTACAAATACTAGGTATAGTATATTTCCATTATTTGACAAAGTTCGAAGTGTTGTAACATTTCAAATACTATTACGTTCTGACAAGAATCACAAAATAAGAGTGCAGATACCAAATGCAAACGTTCGTCAAAGCTTTCCTTTCTTAAGAACAAATGGTTCGCGAGATGCGAATGACACATCGTAGAAAAATCATACAAATCACATGGGGTGGACAGAGTCCATAATCTGTCAAATGTATTCATCATGTGATACATAAATTAGGGCAATATTACAAAAATGGCGAAGTTCGTGTACATTTTACTTTAAAAATGTTTATATTATAATGCTAAACGTTTCAAGGAGGCGCTGAACTCAATTTATCTAATAATAACACTTATCACTGTATGATTAGTCTAAATTTTAATTATATTTTCGTTTTTAGCACTCGATTTTAATTTATATATTTTTTACTTGATATTAGGAGAATAACTCAAGACAGTTTTTATAATAACTCTTGATTTATTTACAAGAGAACATCAATCAATACCAGCCAATCACCAAAATTTAATTATCTGTTTTATTCTTCCTAAAGTTATATTAGTTAAACATATGCTTATTATTTGGTTACAATACTACACACAGAAGAAATATCTTAATTCAAGAAGTTCAATTAAAACCCACATTCGACAATAGTCAAATGCTTTGATTATTTACATTGTTCAATTTACAAAATTTTCATCTATTTTATTATAGATGATCAAATTAGTAATAATAACAGCACTAAAGAATAAACAATAGTTTTCATTATTGTAAATCTCTTTTGCAAACCTTGATAAACTATCAACATAAGTATCTTTTATTAGGAAGATAATAATTTTCTAAAGATATAATATGTATTATAAATGTACATGATCTTTACAAATAATTTATGTCTGCTAAGTAATTGACGCAAAAAATCATTTTGTACTGGAATATACTTAAAGCAGACTGTTACATGCAACTGTGTGTAATAATTAATATCTATAACTTATGGATCTGAATACTTTGTAACATCTTAGCAGAAAACAATGCACATATTTTTACAATTCTATTAAATAGCAGGAAAAAGAAATGAATAGAGTTCTGAAATATTATACATGTAATTGGTAAAATTCTATTATGCTCTGCAGATGTCTGGAGCAAAGCTTATTACGAAGATATTTAAAACATAATATATTTGTATATTTCATGGGATAGAAGTAGCATTTTCATTATCAATTTTATGCTCCTTGAAGCCATTGGCAGCTCTGATTATATAGAATACCATTTCCAATTAAACGCTAAGAGATGATCTTGAATTTACATAGAATTGGTGACCCGATAATAAAAATGTCACAATGTAAATGCATGCGGCAATCCAGCAGTTAAATGCATTTTGAGTGTATCCAGCATCTATTTTAGTATAAAATTCATTTAGCGATGTAAATTCGCTCACTGGCACATCCTCTATAAGAGCAACACTCCTGATAAAAAAGAATGCACCCATCAAGACCTACAAATCAGAATAAAATATATATTTAACCAACTGTCAGTCTTTAGAAACATTATATTAACAAATATTTTATTATAATTATTATTTCTTACTTAAAAATAGTATTAATTTATTTCATTAGACAAATGATATATGAACTCTACTTTCGGAAAATTCAGTGTATCATTGCAAATACAATAGATACTATATCACCATTGAAATATCACGAATGCAAGAAACTCTAATTAAGAATATACTATATATCAATAAAAAGACCATTATATATAGAAATAAATTATTAAGATGCTTTTAGTTAAATCTAAAAGTAATGTTTGACCATTACAAGGATAACGATGAATTTGACTTACTAGTTGAATTATGCCCCACGTAGAAAGTACCAAGCCACACAGGGCATATTTAGGACCGCAGATCTTCATGATGTTCTCGTTGAAACGTCGCCTTGTACGATCTTTTAGCAAAGAGACAAGCGTGTAACAGATTCACCTCAGAAAAAGTTACCGAGTGGCGTACAGTTAGTTACGCCCAGGTCAGTCATATGATTACAATCGATACTATCGTACACCAACGAGGTGCGATCAGTTTCAAAATATTACTAGATACCATTTGACTTGGTTTATAAAACAAATTTCATTAATATTTCACACGTTTATAATCACACAATCATTTAAAAATATTAAATAACACATTCCACAAATGGAATGCAGCCAATAGATAAAAAATATTAAATAATTAGAATACTTATTATTTTTTATTACAAATATATTTCTTGCTTTGTTTAAATATATCAAATGCTACAACATTCTATGAACTAAATAATTAACATTTTTACGTCTTATTTTGATATTTTTAATACTATGCACGGGGAAAGTTAATGCAATAGGTCTGCACTGCTTTTCTACGTGTGACGACAAGAATCAAAGGGAGTATTAGTAATTAGTGGTTGCAGTCATAAGAACCATTTGGTAGCTAACCAAGGAATTTATATCTCAAGAATATATGCATTAGACGGAGGCCTGAGACTTGGACAAGTTTTTTTAATTAAGTGTTTATAATTGTTTCTAACAATTTTTTACGACCGCCGAATAAGTCAAATTTCGTCAATTTCAATTGGCTCGTTACGGTGTGACAGATAACGAGGAGTGGACGTGATTCATGCTTCCTGCTGTTGTCAGCCCTGATTCATGGAATCATGGTTGATCGACTTGGTTAGTTCGTACTATTTCACCTAACTCTTTTAATTAATTTTTCCGCTACTAGAAAAATTCTATAATAACATTGTGTTGTAATTTCAATATCTGTTCTACTGGCACATAGCTGCATATATTTTTTTTACGTACAATTTCGTTCAGTGTTTCAATTAACCGTCCTACATTGCTGAACGGTACATTTAGGTGTGCTGTGCTTTTGACAGCTACTTAGGTGTACCTAGATAATAATCATATCATATAATGCAACGTCTTAATTTATTCCTAATTAAATTCCTTCTATTGTTTTCATGATATTGTATTACCGTATTTGATATTTTTTAGTAAACAGCGAGGCCAATGCCAGGCGAATTACAATGGTGGAGAACTGTTTCGGCAGTTCTGGTCAGGTATGTTAATTTTATTTGAAAGTTGCTTTAACAATGAATGTACTCTAATTTCTCTTATAACTTCATAGAGACATAATTTATAAACAGCTACCAGTTGGCTATATTAATATTATATCTTAAAATGATATATATATATATATTGGCATAACAATTCTAAATGTATTTTTTAACGAGTATGAAGTATACTTTGTCCACTTTAGAATATATGTGTCGTACCGTTGTTTTCAATATATTGTGATTCGATATCTTATGCTTTATACTATATGATCATTCTTAGCACAATATTGTCTAATATAAGTGCTTTATTATGTAACTCTGAATACTTTATTTTCCTTATGGGCGATAATAATGTTTTGAAACCTTATTAATAATTTAAAATGTTAAGTCATATAAAAATGTATATATTTTTATAATATCTTTTACAAATACTTTTTCTTTCAGCCACTTGCTGTTTCTGGAAGGGTTCTAGTAGGAGAAGGTGTCTTGACAAAAATGTGCAGAAAGAAACCAAAACCAAGGCAGTTTTTTCTATTTAATGACATATTGGTTTATGGGAATATAGTGATCAATAAGAAAAAAGTAAGCATTTTCATTGCATTTTGAATATTATAGACAGATTATTTAACTAACTGAGTGACATTACTAATATTGTTGAAAAATATATATATACATTTGATATTTTTTTAACGTAAATAGTAAACAAATGTTCTTATGCCACATGTATAACAGCTATGTACTTTTCTGGCAGTATAACAAACAACACATAATTCCGTTAGAAGAAGTGAAGCTTGAATCTTTGGCAGATGATGGACGTGAGTATTTCCTGTGCATTTTTGTGAGGCAATTGGTTATATTTTTCATTATGTAATTTCTAACAAAATATGATGTCATCATTATATGCTATACATTTCAAAAGATTATTGCATGGTAGAAGTAATGTATAAAAACATTGTTTTTCTTCATATCACAGTAGTTATACAGAAATGCAACTCACATTCCAGATTGAACTGTCCATACAAAAATTGGTATATCAGCTTGTTATCCTGCATGCTTAATCATATCAAATTGTGCCATTATTTGTAGAGTATCGCAATGGATGGCTCATTAAGACAGTAACAAAGTCATTTGCTGTTTACGCTGCTACTCCTACAGAAAAGCAGGAATGGATGGCTCATATTACAAAGTGCATTGAAGATCTGCTCAGAAAAAGTAAATATATATTTCTTGACAGAAAACATCATTATATGAAACGTCATAAATTTACAGCATGTATTACATTAATAATGTCTTATATTTTAGGTGGCAAGAAACCGGTTGAAGTTCATGCAGCTGTTTGGGTACCGGATAATGAGGCGACTATTTGCATGCATTGTAACAAGACACAATTCACGGTCTTGAATAGACGGGTAATTACGTTTGTATGAATTATTTAGTCTTAATAATGATTGTACTGTTGGAAAGTAAACTAGAAAAATTGTTTGCAGCATCATTGTAGACAATGCGGAGCTGTTGTATGCGGACCATGCAGTAACAAAAAATTGGTATTGCCTGGTCAAGGAGGTGGAAAAGCTGTTAGGGTGTGCCTGCAATGTTACGATGCAGCTAGCAAAGTAAAAGCGACACCATTAACTGCTACCGATAGTTTAAATAACAAAGAACAACAACGTAACTCTGCTGATAGTTCAGGCGGTGACAGTTCTGGTGATGAAGAAGAAGGTAATAAAGAAGAAAAACACGATGAGGTAAGCCAGTCTTTAGTATCAATTTAAGTACTTCTTTAATTTTTTCTTTAACAATAATGTACATTCATTATGTAAATTTATAAATTTGATAAAAAATGTACAATGATGCGGATACAATGTATGTCATACGTAAGCAATGTTATTGATTAACGTATTCTCTTTTTTGTTTCAGCCTAAATTTTATTCCACTCTTGTTCAATGAGCAATGACAATGCACAGTTCATGTTACAATAAGAAGCAAGATATAAATATTGTTCAGATGAATATTTTTTTAAATTCGCATGAGAACGATTTTCAAAATATATGAATTGTAGTTGAAGTTTGGAATTTCAAATCATCACGTACATAAATTATTAGGATGCTCACGTAAAAAGTTTTTTTTGAGAATAATGTTGCAAGATAGATTGCAGACATATGATCAATGGCATAATTGAAAATTCGACAAGAAGAAAAGTTTCGTTCGATATTGAATATTCCGTATTTATATAGCGAATGCAGGTTTTTAATATTTACATAGACCTAAGCAGTGAGTGATGGAAGAAGACTATTATCTATTATAACGTTTTACAGTTAACGTTTTACACATTTACAATAATTCAACCATTGATCAGCAGGTTCATAAAAAATATTAACTTTCATTTGCATGTGTAGCCATCTCATATCTTCTATACTTATTTGTCCCAAATTATAACTTCGTATGTGCACCAATTATATGATGCTCCCTCTTTAAATTTAAGAAAATATGCCACAGCGTGCCTTTACAAATCAATTTTTCACTCTAATTGGCTCTTTCTCACCAATTCTATATAAACAAAACGTATACTGGATTCTATTCCGATACGAATAATAACGGAAACAAAATATTTTATTTGCTCAATGCAAATATATAAATGAAGACGATGACTCGATATGCTTGCTGTTTAATTTGATAATTTCTACAGTAGTCAAGATAATACAATATCACGTGTTAAAACCGTACAATATGAGATATTGCTGCAATCAATACTTAAATTCTGAATATCAAATATTTGTAACTTTATTCCACTAATTCGAAGTTAAAATTCTTGATACCCTGGTCTTTAATAAAGGATAGTCTTAACAATTAAAATACTTGAAATAAACATAGAGGTGTTTTCTAATTAAAGACACGCTTTTTTATGTAAATGAAACACCAAGGGGTAGCGTAACACTGTTCCATAATCTTATAGCAGTGACTATAGACTGCATTTGTTTGTTAAATTAGAGTATATATTTTGTATACGTAAAATTAATTGGGAATGCTTTTGGTCCCCAATTAATAAACCCACAAGCTAATTAATATTAAATGCGTGTATATAATACTGTAAACGATATATGGAAACAATATAGGTCATTTACATTCAAGCATTTGGATTACTTTCTAAGTCTTCAAAATTTAAGAAACACCTTCAGATTTTTTTTAATTCCACTTTAAAACTTTTATTTATAATTCTCTTCGTATTATTGTCAAACGTACTTCTCCAACTTAGAACTTTTGAGTTGAAAATAACGGTTAATGGAATAAATAAAAAAACATTAATTTGTGAATTTCAATGTAGACTTTTGTGAACAAATGATAAGCACTGCCCTGTAGTAAGTAGAATACTCACACTTGTGGTATACCGTAAATCCTAAAATACAAGATTATCTCTACAGCATATGTGTAAAGTTTTACAGACATCTACTTGCCTTGTGAAAAACAAAAATTAATAAATAATCTATGCAATTCTTATTTTCATTTTAGCAGACATGCAATCTTGCATGTACACACAGATGAATCTGCGCAAACATACTATTTACTAATGAAATATATCGAATAAAAAATTACATTAACATTTCTAATACATCACTTGTCAAAAGATTAAGTGCAACGATATTGCATTTGATATTGATATTTTTTTTGTAATTTCAAAACACTGCTTTGCTGTAATGCAGTAATGTACTAATTTGCACATTTGTGTACAATGTTTAAATTGAATATCAGCTAATCACATCAAAAAATTGTTTGTTTAAGTGTAATAAAATTTGATTCTTATCAATGATTAATCGTATGCAGAAATATATGATTTATGTAAAAAATTGTGTCTTACTCAAAATAAACAGTAGAGTACAAAAAATGGTATTTATTTGTCATATAAGTCACTTACATTATCATATAAGTATTCAAATCAATTCATAATATAGAAATATATATACTATACTATAAGTATAGTATGTCAAGAGTAAAGTGACAATTTATAAATAATGATTCTACCAAAAAAGTCTGTACTTTCTTTGAATACTAACTTAAATATTTTTGCCATAATATTCTGATTTAATTTAAATTTTTGCACTGTATTTGTATCCTCTGGGAAAAATGATTCTTGAAAATTTAAACTTTTAGAATCTGGTCCAGCTTCTATAAAACAATCTTTTCCAACAAATCCACCTTGAAATTCAATTTCAATGGTTGATAAACTACACTCTTTATCAAATTCAAATATAATCCATTGTGGAATACCCTAAAAAATAATTGTTGCATCTTTTTAATAATCATCTAAATTACAGAATTATTGGATATCAGTAGAATTTTTTATTTTACCGAATCAGAATTCCAACATGTCTCATTGCAATCATCAAACATATACTTTTTCCCAAAATGACGGATGTCTTTATTTAATACTGAGCTCACCCTAAAGATAATAACAGTGTAATAAACACTTGGCAAAAAAAGACATAAAATGCATACATAATAGATATACACAGACTATTTTTTTATAGTTATGCACTAACACTTGAATCAAACTCACCGACATTCGAACTTATTCTCCTTCAATAAACAAGACATCTTTTCCAAAAATCTTCTGCATTCCTTTTTTAAAGAATTTACCTACTGCATTTGTGTATCTCTGAAATCATCATTTCCATAATACATTTACCTGCTCCAATAAGATTATGAAAAATATCTATTTTAATAACTATTTCAACTGAACCATACCTTACAGTACATTCTAAATATTGTAACAGAATATTAACCAATTTCATATACTAAAATATATCAAAAATATACGAAAAATCATCTCATGTACCTTTATGTTATAGAAATTGTATGTTTGCTTTGGACAAATAATGTTCACGTTGATTAATCATTGTAGCACATGGTTTACTTGAATATGTTTGTATACTAAACAGTTTCACTTATTATAAATATTTTTTATTATATATACTTAATATATATATATATATATATATACTTATTGTTTATACTTAAATATTTTTGATTTTGCCCACTATTACCAGCTATTAAATTGCTGAAATTTTTCAATGTGTACTGCGTATTATTATTACAAAACAAGACAAATTTCACGATTTGAGCAATTTCGCCAAGCAAAACCGTCCAGTTTACGAACGGTTTTTCTGACGTCCACTGATGTCTGAAAGGAACACAAAAATTGCAGAGATGTGTAGGGAAATCATGGAGACTCTAGTCTCCATGAGGGAAATGCACAACGCGACGAAAGAGATGAGTAGGGAGATGCACAACGCTACGGTTTTAGGCAATTACCAAAAGCATGGCGCTGATTCGCAGCGGCGAGTCCGAAAGTATAGTTTTGTGATTATTGTCTCCGTCAAAAATGCGAATCCCGTCGTAGCCGAGGTAAACGTGAACACGAACGCGTAGCTTGGCGAGCAGAGGTTCTCCGCTACTTACCGCTGGTTCCCAAAGCAACAATTAAAACGAGGCAGCTCATCGGATATAGCTTAAATATTTTTTTTCTTAGCAATCCCAAATTCGAGCGCACATTGTAAGCTCGGTAAGTTTAATATGACAAAATCCAGCAACTCATGCCTGACTGCACTGAAGCGCATGTTGCCACCAGTATATTTAATAGATATTTTACCAATGTTGCGTAGCAGAACTATTGTTAAAACCTATCAGGAACTAAAGAACTCCTCGAGAACTATTGAAAAATTCTATTGTTGAAACTTTGAAATTTTTAAGAAATAGCGGTAACAACTTCAAACACGCGTAACACCACAATATTTTGAAAATGATTCAACAATAGACTTTTTCAACAGTTCTCGGGGAGTTCTATAGTTCCTGATAAGTCTTAACAATAGTTCTGCTACGTAACATCGGTAAAATACCTATTAAGCATACTAGTCGCACCATACTCTTCAGTGCAGGTATGCATAAGGAGCTGGCTTTCAGTGTTGTTTTCAGATTGTGTTTCAAACAGTTCCGGGATAATTCTCCCTAGTACTCAATGTTGGAACCATAGTTCCGGCTGGAAGCTAGCACCGCATCGCTATACTCCTTAACGCTGGCAGGAATGAGGTGCTGGCTTTTGCCTTAGTAAATCTTATAAAGCTTACATTGTGCACTCGAATTTAAGATTACAAAATAAAATATTTAGGCAATATCTGATGAGCGGCCTCGTTCTAAGGGCTGCTCTGGAAACCAGCGGTAAGTTGCGGAGTACCTCTGCCGGCCAGGCTACACGTTCGTGATCACGTTCAACTCGGCTACGACGGGATATGCTTTGTCGACGGAGTTGATGATCACAATATCCTACTCCCGGACTCGCCGCTACAATTTAGCGCCATGTTTTTGGTATCGCCTAAAACCGTAGCGTTGTGCATCTCCCTACTCATCTCTGAGCATTGAACTGTGTTTTCTTATCTCGTCATGCACGCCATCAATGGCCTGTACCATTGTGCGTGTGATTTTCAGTGTGATTTGAGCGACTTAAGAAAATATTTCAAAATATACGAGAATTTCATTGTCGTACAAAAACTTTCTTTGTGCTCCTAAGTCAACGCCCTACGATATTATGGCCGGAAATAAGGAGGTGATTCTGGCTGATTTTCAGGTAATAATTTCAGTCTTGTAAAATTCATTGTTGGCAAGCATAGCTATGCTTGCGTAGGTTATGTGGGCTATTAGAACGATGACATTGACAATTGCCATGTTTGCTCAAAGGAATTTCATAGGGGCCTTTCTTCATTTGAATACACTAGAATATAAAAAATCCAAAATTATGAAAAAACTAATTAAAATCCCTTGTTATTATTTACTGTCATAAAAATTTCTGTATACAAAAGCTAACCAATGAAAAATCAATTTTTAGGCATGTACAGGAATTGATGATATTGGTGAAGCCATCCTACGTTTGGAAGGAACTAATTGGGATCTATTGGTACTAAAGTTCTTCATGTTTAAAGAAGTTAATGTTTCATATATTTCAATGATATAACTGTATCAACATCACTCCGTGTTTAGGCTGCAGTAAACAGCGTTATGCCTCAGGATTCACAACAGCTTCCATCTGAAATGGGTCCTGATATTGAAATGATAGAGGAAATAAGAGGAAATTCACGAAATTCATTATCCTCCTCTTCGGAAATTGCTCAGACATTAAAAAATACAAACACTCCCAGAGCAGATGTAGTGGAAATTGTTAAACCAGGTACAAGTAGACCAAGAAATAGCAGTGGTCCTAGAACACTGACATTCCATATTAACTACTCCAATCAAGTTATACAAATCGACTTACCAGAAACACGTACTGTAGGTAAGTAACAAGTGAATCAAAAGTATTTTTTAATTTCTACCACAATAAGTTTCTATAATGCCATTATAATAAACTTTTTGTATTCAGGTGATTTAAAGCATTTAATTTGGGAGCAAACACATGTGGGACTTTGTCATCAACAGTTACATGGGTGGAAGAATGAACCACAAACTGATCATACTATTCTTCAAACTTTGGATTTACCACGTGAGAATACATTATACATGTCAGCCATTGGTGAAATTGGAGATTCTTCAGCAGAAAGGTATTTATCTACAAAAATAATGACTAATTCTAAGGGTATACAACTATTCCATCTGCATCATTTGGTTTTCAGTATGAGCCTTTCAGATCGCTTGACGCAAAATTACACATTAAATGTGCGTGACGAAATACATAATAAGACATACAAACTGAAGTTTCCTGGGACTCACACCATCTTAGAAGTCAAATCAGATGTATATTCATTAATTGATGTGCCCGTGAGAAACCAACAGTGGAAGGGCTGGCCAAGTTCTTTAAAGGATGACAAAGTAACACTCGCGCTAAGTGGAATTTCTTACCCAGAGCACGATCTCACCGTTGGCAAGCGTGCAACAAAGGATCACAAAAAGGTACTTATCATCACTTTGTAAAAATGAATTAATATCAAACATGATCGCGTTTCAGGTCGTCGTGGATTTAGTCGATAGCAACAGTTCTGCTGATGAACCAGAAGATACAGAAGAGTTTGAAGATGCACCTGATTCATTTAGTGTTGAAGATGATATTTTTATTGACAATATTCGCTCAACGAAAATACAACGCCTGAGTATATACTTGCTTTCTTGTACATATTGAATATTTTAACATATTGTTTAGACAATTATATTTTTTTTCTTTTTTTCTACAGTGCCTGACAAAGTAGAAGATGAAACTCTAGGTACACTACATTTTGCGGAACAATTTGAAAAGCGTTATGGTCCAGTTCATCCGGAATTTTTCACTGGAACTTTTGAAGATGCTATAAAGGAATCCTGTTTAAAACCGGCGAAGGAAGTTCGTGACTAAAATCTTCGTTATACGTGATTGAGCGTCCTTACATTTTTTGTTCATTATCAAAATATTCATTTCATTGATTTCAGAGAAAACTCTTGGCTGTGTATTTGCATCATGATAACAGTGTACTTGCAAATGTATTTTGTACGCAACTACTAGGCTTTGAATCCGTCTTACAATTGCTTTCTACAAATTTCATCGTCTGGGGTTGGGACTTCTCATACGAATCGAACAAACAAACGTAAATACTTCTTAGTATTTTGACTATTTTTAATGCACGTAAACATCATTAACGAATTAAATTACCCACAGATTTTTATCCTCTATAAATCAAACTCTTGGTCCAATAGCTGCACTGACAGTGAGGAGCATTGATGTAGATACACTACCCGTACTTATGATTATTATGCGATCCAGATCTAATACGGAGATATTTACAATAGTTCATGGAAACGTGGGTGTTAATGAACTTCTTACTAATTTGATCCAAGCTGTTGATGTATTCCAGGTGAGACCACGATTAGGACGCATTAAAAGAAATTATCCATTAATTTCTACTTTCAATTAGCTAATGTTTACTGAATTTGACAACAGGAACAAAGACGCGCTGATATCGGTTTTGAAGAAGAGAGACAAGCTAGAGAAAGAGTGAAGCAGGAACAAGATCGAGCTTATCAAGAGAGTCTTGCAGCTGATAGGTATTTATTCTTTATAAATGTTTATTATTCTGCAATTATTGTGCAAAATGTGCAGTCCTTGCATTATAAATTTGCATTCTAGGGCGAAAGAAGAAGCAAAACAGATACAGGAGCTGATAGAACGTCAGAGAAAGGAACAGGCCGAAAGTGAACGACTTGCTGAAGAAGCAAGAAAAGAAGCTCATAGACAGGCGGTTGAGTCTAATTTACCACCTGAACCATTAGAAGGTGCAGGCGACGGCGTCTTGAAAGTAAAAGTGCGACTTCCAGCTGGAAAATTTCTGGAGCGCAGGTTTCAGTCGGACACTCCGTTGCAAACACTTCTTAATTTCCTCATCGTGGAAGGATATCCCACAGAGGAATATAAAGTTCTGTCCAGCTGGCCCCGAAGGGATGTAAGTAGATGATGTAAGCATTTTAATTCAATTAACCCAAAGACTAAATGTCCAATTTAATTATGCCCCTCAATATTTATTTAAATATGAAGTCATTTGTACAATGCTTATAATGGAATGTGGGTTAAATGCGGATGGCTTTGTTCAATGAATAATTGCATAATGCATACTTTTATTTTCTTTAGCTAACTTCCATGGATCCCAATCTCACACTCAGCGAACTGAAATTCTGCCCGCAAGAGACAGTGATCTTAGAGGAACGATAAGTTAATTACTGTAATTAAATTCGAAGTAGGGATTAAACATCGCGATATTCGTAATACGTATTTATTTAATAATTTTGAGATAGTCAACAGTTAATACAAGTTGTCTGTTTATTATGCAATTACATTTGTACGCTGTACTTTTTTCATACGATCATATCGTATGACGAATGTAGTTCTATTTTATAAAGAGTCCTTTTTATGCGCGTGCACTGTATGTTGTAAATTCCGAAAAATAAATTAGACGAGAAAAGGCCATCAAGCTATCCTCCACTGTCGACGTTTTTACATCTAATAATTTATCGACTTACGGTTCACAGAAGAATTTTAGATACATAGAATGAAAGAATCCAGAAAATGTATTTTGTAAATCAGGCGTGTCAAATGTACAATATAATGAATATACATACACAAATCTTCGTATAAAAAACTCCATTATAAATATAAAGAAGCGGCAAAAACAATATCCCTCTTAATTATCTTTATGGCTTCGCTAAATTTATTTTCCAAATCTGTATTTCCTATATTCTTGGCTGCTTGGCAAAGCTGTCTGAGAACCTCCTCTAGACGACGCATACACCGTATAATAGAGCCTACAAGAAATATCAACAGTTTGTTTAATTCTTATAACACGAAGTTCATTTCTTTTTAAGATCGAGCATTACCTTCGAATATATCGGTCATTTTGCATATTTGCAAAAAACTCGCACCTTTACACCAGGCATACATGACATCCATGAGATACGGTTTGAATTTATCTACATAAGCGGCTTCATCCAATTCTAATTTAGCATCTGTAGATACTTTAGCTATTCTGCGAGCTAGATCCTGCATCTGCCTGAGTGGGCCACTCAATTCTTCTGTACTTCTCGGCATTTCATTAGATTTCTCATCACAAACGAAGCAACTAATCAGTGCTACCATTTGGGGAACACTCAAGGCGTTGAACAGCCCATTGAAAATCATTTCAGTCATCAAGAGCTCATCAGCTCCGTTAAGCTCACAAGCTACTCGACCTTTTAGTTCTATGACATCTGCTGCGGTGCAATAAGCCATTCTTCGTAAAACACGTTTTCTACATTTGAGCTCCTCCATTTGTAATACGGATTTGGCTTGTTTTAATTCTGTCTTAGCTTGTTTTAATTGAGTACCTAGCTCTTCTTTTCGTATAAATTGTGTGTACAGTTCGTTCAATTGTGGATTCTGTGGAGGATAACAAATTGTATATGTGATTGTTGAAGATTAACTAATAATGAGGATTTTGTGAATACTTTTATTTCGTTTACCTTGTGCAAAGGATGTGCGAATAATCGTTCTTCTAATACTTCAATGCGCTTTACTATATCTTTGAATGCTGAATCTTCGATTTTCATATCAGTAATAGGATTGAGCAATGGTGGCCCATCTGGAAATCTCTTTTTTACTTCCTGTATTGTTTTAAGGACGCTTCTTCTATTATCAGAAGGTCTTAAATCTTTTGGATAATAAACTCTAAGTGAACTGATTTCAGAAAGTAAAGTATGTAAGACGGGCACCACTTCTACATCACCATCTTCACCAGGTCGGCATGGAATTGGTGAACCTTCAGTAGAGTCACTAGAAATATGGAGCAATATATCTACGACAATAACAGTTTTTTCCAGCATAGGATTTTTCGGAGTTTTCTTTTTAAAATTTACTATTATTCCCCAATCGAACGTGTCACTTTCATTTTTCACCTATAATTTGGATAGTATACATGGTTAAACTTAAGAATAGTCAGGCGCGTAAAGCATCCTCACAAATCATTATTACCTTCACCATTCTTCCTGGTTGTAAAAATGGTAGCAAATAATCCGGTTTTGTTAAAAAACTTCGAAATTCTATTGAAAGTTTATCGAGCTGCTCCCGTATATCGTGATAGCTGGAAATATCTTGGAATTTCTCAATTTGTATAGCCTCATATTCAGCTTCCAAGTTTTTCACCTCTGAAAATATTGAATACGTTATACCAATTTCATTCACTGAATTTAACAAAAAACTAACAAATTACTAACTGTTATATAACTCTGGGATGCTGGCTTGATTTTGAAACTGATAAAAACTACGCTCTAACATGTACTCGGGATTAATTTCTTCAACCCTCAAAAGATTGAGAACCATATTGTACGTAAGATGAAATGCAGAATTAATAGGATCAGGTTTTCCTTGTACAATGTCTTTCCCAACAGTAGGACTGACTCTCTCGTCAATCATGAGAATAACTATACCCTTCTCATCTATACCTCGTCTGCCAGCTCTGCCAGACATTTGAATATATTCACCGGAAGTGATCCAGCGGAAGTCTCTTCCATCAAATTTTCTAGGTGCTGTGAAGAGGACTGTTCTGGCAGGCATGTTTAAGCCCATGGCAAAGGTTTCGGTAGCAAATAATGCTTTAATTAAACCCTCACCAAACAGAATTTCTACAGTTTCTTTTAATATTGGTAGTAGACCACCATGATGTATGCCTATACCACGTCGTAATAATGGCAACACGTTCTCCACCTGAGGCAGTCGTCTATCCTCTTCACTGAGGACATCCATTGCATTTTCAAATACTTCATCAACCAATTTCTTTTCTTCTATCGTATTCAGGTCTAATTTGGCCATTTGCATAGCATAGATCTCACAATCTTTCTTGGAAAAGCTGAAAATGATTACAGGAGCAAAGTTCCTCTCCATTATCATCTTCACCATCTTGAAAATATTACTTTGGCCAGCATTGGTTCCCTTAAGTCCACCTTTACGGCCCTTTGTATCACCTTTTGCAGCGTCGCCCATTTGCAGGCACGCCATGGCTCGGTTAAAATTCTCTTCTTTAAATTGTCCTGCCTCATCAACAACCTATAAGTTACAGGAATCGAGCATATTATTTATTCATTTACACGTGTCAATCTAAATAATAATACTTATTACACACTGACCAAGTGAATACCATCTCCGCCAACGGGAAATATATAATGCTGCAGCGGAGTTGGTCTATAGTCAGTATATACAACGTGACAAGGTTGGCGGTGTAAATGAGAAACCCATTCAGCAAATTGTCGAGCGTTGGGAATTGTTGCGGAAAGAAACACGTAATGTACATTATCTGGAAGGAGTATTAAAGTTTCTTCCCACACTACACCTCTTTCTTTGTCACGCATATAATGAATTTCGTCGAATATTACCCAACCGACTTCTCGCATTACCTAAGTAATATTATAATTAGTTTGATAGATTATAGTGAGTAGTGATATGACATGTAATCGTGATATTAACCTCTGAACCCCTGTACAACATATTTCTCAAAATCTCTGTAGTCATAATAAGAACACTGGCTGTTGGATTAATGGTAACATCTCCTGTGATTAAACCAACATCTTTGAACTCTTCAAAGAATTCTCTATATTTCTGGTTACTTAGAGCTTTTATAGGCGTCGTATAAATTACTCGTTGCTTGTCTCTTAAAGACGATGCTATCGCATACCTATAATAATTTGTATTAGTAATATGAAGTAATAAAGTATGAATATTGTTATTGGTAGTCCAATCAATTTACATACTCAGCAACTACAGTTTTACCAGCTGATGTATGAGCCGATACTAGAACAGATTGATTGTTCTCTATACATAATATAGCCTCCTTCTGAAATGGATCTAAAACAAATTTGTATTCCTTGGCTGGCTTGATCGACTTATTTTCGAGTGGTATATATTCCTGGCCTGGTGGAATAGCAACTTCATGAGTACAAGACTCAATAGTCTCTATCGTATGGACTGTTATCCGTGATGCTAAATCATCTATACTATTAGACAAATATAAATTTAAAAATACACTAAACTCTAATTAGATATTACATGATGGAAATAAATTACATACTTAATATCTTCCAAAATGGATTCTGTCTTCTGTCTTTTGCCAGAGTAATCTGTATCACTTTCATCAAGATCTCGTTTAGCTCCAATTTCCACGTCAGCATTTCTATTCGTTTAGAAATATGCATTAATGAAATTCAAACAATACAAAACATTTTTGAAAAGATTATTATATTCCAGTATGTTTTCTCTGTGAACTTACTTCACGATTTTTGTAGTCTTCAAATTACTTTCTTGTGATGTTGTTGGAATTATCTCAACAACACTTTCACTAGATTCTTCGAATACATCAAACAAATCTTCACTGAAATCAGCCATCGGAAACTGTTTTAGAAACTTGTATTTTTTTCTAAACCTTAACCTTCTTTTAAAAAGTAGCGTGGAGTCGTTCGCGTACCAAATTCTAGCAATAGGTTAGCCGCAGTTAGCCGCCTTGGGCACTCATCGACTCCCTATCGGTATTATCATTTTACAGTTTTAACTAGCAGTTTCAGACGTTTGTCTCGAGATAGCAGCATTAAGGTTCTGACATTTCTATTCTGTATGTATATATATGTATACATGTACTTCGAAGTTGTATTAGCACCAAACAATACATTCCATTGATATCACAAATGATTTTTTTATACATAAAAAAACATAGAGCTATCTGAGAACAATAATGAATTACAAAAAAAATACCATTCTACATTGAATGTATAGATTATAAAACTTATGTATTTCTCGTACCGATTGCGTCAAAGACCTTGCAAGATTAGAAATCATCGTGTCATTCGACCATGTTTTAAAACAGCGTAATATACAATTTGCTGTAAGTTTTTATATTTGGATCATAGATAAATAAAAAGTTCTACTTATTAATACATGTAACGTCCATTCTCAGAAGTAATTTGTGTACACATATTTTCTATTATTATCTCTATTACTTACATCGATTATATCTCTATTTCGAATGAGAAGGTGCGTTAAAACGAATAATTGAAAATAATTATAGTTTGATTATTAGCGTTTCAAAAACGGGTATCAATCTGCGATCTTAAGGAGAACCAATTCGTGTTTCCCCACTCAACCGTTTATGGAACTTTCAAATAAAAAAATAAATGGATAACACTCAATTTACGTGACAAAAATTGTATTAACAAACATTTATATATAATTCATTATGTATTGCACAGGCGACCATACTGCATACTTAATAGACAAAATATAATTGTCACGAAAAGGAACAGTCATGTAAAAAACTGTTCAAATGTCGCGCATGAAACTTTACAATATTTAAATTATATATAGTACACCCTGATTTCTTAAGAGCTCAACTCTCGGAGTACCGTATATACGAAACGTAGTATAACTACACATTCCATGTTCACTTCTCAAGGTTGTAGGACCATTTTTTCTTTAAGGGGTTACACTTGTCCCATTTGTATCCCTACTTTAACGCCTCTGATCAATTCATATGCATACATTGTAAACTTTCTCGTTCCTTCACAATTACAATCTAACGTAAGATTATAACGGTATACTGTTAGACTGTCGATTTCACGTGTCAATCAACAAGAAATTAACGAAGGTCCCAATACAGAATACAAAGAACAGCTACGGTTTCGTTTACAAGGTTTGGTGTTAAAGTTACCGTGACATTGTCAATTATCATAGAGGCAATCTAGCTGCAGACAAAATAGTACAGTCACGTTTAGACACGAGACACGCCCGACATAAGTAAGCATCTCAGTTAATGGACATTTCCTGATTGCATCAACAGTGTGCTTATTCTTCCATCAATTTCCAATACGTTTATATTATGTATATAAATATTGACAATGGGATATAATCAATATCCGGCATACTCTCATCACTTCCGAGTTCCATCATGTGATGTCTAAGTAAAGAAAAAGTCAACGGGACACCGTCAATAATGACACAGGAAAAGTTGTAAGGTTATGTACGGAAGAAGAGACGGCAAAATGTGTCAAGTGGGAAAAGTTATCGCCGAGAAAGTTACGTGGCAAGCAAATAAGCATTGCGGAAATAACGAGATGTAATTTTAGTGAGAGACAATGAGTGTCTTCGGAGAACGGTAAATGCCCTATGTCATTGACTGCGCCCACGCAGAACAATTCGTATTCAACGATACGAAAGATACCTCAGGACAATTGACATTCGAATTGAGCAAGGCCTTATTCGTTCATTGCTCGCGAGATAAAATCTACATATGAAAATATTGACATTGAGTTAATGAAGCATATAAAAATTTGACATTTCGTTTTTAAACACCGTCAATTAAAATAATACACAGGCGATGATAAAAGCCATTTAATATTTTGACCGTGAAAATACTTCCTGGCTTGAAATTATTTCCATCTCTTCTAGACTCTTTGAAAACAGCATAATCTATGGATTACAGGTATATCACACTAAACATATTATATACGATTACTAGGATAATTTTGTATTATAAGAAAGTTCATGACCCTTTAATGATAATAGTTTGTCTCAAGTTATTATCACAAATATCATGAAAGCTATAAAAAAGAAAAAAAAGACAAGTTTCGCTCTTTATGAGAAGAGTGGAAAATTACACTTGATTATTCCTAGCAGGTTTGCGCAACGGTCCTACTCCTTATCCCACCCTGTTTCTTCTTGTTTCTCAGCCAAGCAAAGGAAGATACATGCCGTGGGATATTGTAGGTACTGTCAAAACAACAACGTTGAAAATTGCCGGTAAAGATTGCCATCATTAGAATGGACATATCTATATACATGCATAATTCCTACCGCGTCCCAAGACTTTTAGAGATTTTTACGGCCCGAGGGGCCTTTTCGCTTTTTTGGAGATACCATCTTCAGACAATATTTTCACGTTCTTCACAGTGACAAATCTTTTAATGGAGAAACTCTTTGAATGACAGAAGCGTCTTTAGTCAGCGGTGGGTATCCATACTACAAGCTCCATCCTACGCCTCTTGGTAGGGTTCCGCTAGTCGGGCCCTGGTTCGTCTCGAGGAAACGGAACTTTCAGTTTCTTTTGGGGTCCCGCGAGTGCAAGACCGAGCGCAACGAGCGCGCGTCGCGTGTGAAAGTTTCTCTGCGAAGACAGCCTCCGTGTACAGAGACAGGTACATAGAAACAAAAGTGTCCCGAGTAGAGAATCATCCGCATTATGCATCCTACGTATCAGCTAATCCGTCACTTTCGAAGATTACCTGTCATCAGTTTCTTGAATCGTTTCGTCTCCTTCCCGTCAAGACTAAAAATCCTGTAGGTGACTGATATCCGAGAAAAACGTAATCGCTGTCCGACGTTGCCTTATACGTAAAGGAAACACGTTTGGAACGTGGTATCATTGTACAGTACACTTGACCGCAACTGCATCGCAGCCTCTTGCAAAACGAAACGGTTGCGAAGACGTTTTGTGCCCTCCATATGTTAATTTCATATTTAGTAACGATATCTAAAGATTATTGGAAGCAAATAATTAGGGTATAAAAAAAAGAACACCGATAATATAGTGTATATCAGATTTCCCACTGCATGGTAACGACATTGCAAAATTTGTTTGTCGTTGTTGAATATTCACTAATTTATTTTAAGGAATATAATCGGATATATATATATATATATACATATATAAGACTCTATGACATGTTTTAATCGTGAAATAATTCAATATCCGAATAAGCAATACTTGTTAGTGGGTCATCGATATCAACCGGTCACGAGGGGATCTCGATTTGGATTGAGTAAAAAAGGAACATATCAAAGAAATTACGTGTCCGGTTGTAAGATTCGCAAGCACGACAACTCGTTCGATTCCCCAAGCACGTAGGCTCTCCGTTTGCGTTGACGTAATAGCAGATCAGTTGCTGAATACGATACGAACCTGCAAGGCAATTGTCATTTTTATACTTTCTCCCATAAAAAAAATCCTAGTCATTCGATTACAACGTCTACAGAGATAGAGCCAAAGCGAGCACATGCTAAGCCGACGCCGGCGACGCGCCGCCGTCGCCGCGAGCGCATACACATATATACAGGATCGATAAACATAATATTTCTCAACCAGGTTCGCTCTCTCCTCTCATTATAAGCGTCTTCGAAGACTTTCGGAACAGCGCCTATTGTGCGATAACGAGTGCACGTGGATTCGTCGCGTGTGACCAGAGCAATTGCATTGGGCATCTGAGGCAAGAGACACGAAAGAAAACAAAGGGCTCTGAGAAAAATCATTTGATTATAAAAATTAAGGGATCAGCTCCCGAGTGGAATCCGATGTTAGAGAGACTCTCGCACACGCGAATCTCGTGAAAGTGGTCCCAATCCGGTCCGGGAATCCTTTCGGGAAGCTACGTAATCGCCAGCCGAGCGTGCTCATTCTCGTAGGGTACCTACGAGCGTTTCTACGAGACGGATGAAGTTTTTCGCCGCCCCGGGGCAACGGGTTTTCGCGGGACGGCCCTGATCGTTCGAGTGAAAGTTCGTACGTTAAATATTTTCACGACTCGTTACAGCTCGAACGGTCAACTCCGATGCTGATGCGATTCGTGACACTTATCGTGACACTTATCCCGCACCCATGTATATATGCATACACGTATACATATGTATATACAATAAGTTATCGTTTCTATATATAGACAAGAGAAATTCCTATCCCTATAACAGGTATTCCAGTATCATCCCATCCCTTTAATTTCGTAATAACTTTCTATCCAAACACGTTCCTCCAATTACCATCTTATTACACGGGCGTTAATACTGCCCTGCATTCCATTCTGTAATACAAAGCAACCCGTAATACGACTCTCGAACAATAACCACACGATATCTCCCGTAGTCACTATTAAAACTCGACCAAAGAAAAAGGTACAGATCATTGCTAGATAAATATAATTCGTAAACACCGGTATAGACATATGCGAAAGTGACCAGTCACTAGGTCCCTGTACCACGTCAAGCCATATCGTACATGTTGCCGGACTCCGGGTATCTTGCTACGGCACGGCGGATCGTAGGTCAGTGATAGAACGTTCACCAGTAGGCATGTACATACGTGGAGAGAATCGTTGGGCGCAGTGCAGTTAGGATTAGCATTTCTTGTATGTATCTTTGACAGTAATAGCTACACGATGACGGGTGTAAATACAGGAATGATCGTTCTCTGCTGTCGCGATGTGCGACATAGATGCCGTATGTCGCAAGTATGCACGTATGACTGTACGTTAAAGAACGCAGATACGTAGTGAGACGACGGGTGGCAAGAACCGGCAAGAGCCGGTCGACTGCTGGAATTCAGGTTGATCGTCGTTCACAGGCCACGGGATGTGCGGTTGCGATTGCGAATCCCTATCGAGATAGTACCTGTAGAGGGGGAGACCACGAAATGACGACGAGTGCCTCTCTGACTGTAGGCACTGCAACGTTAACTTACAAATCCGGAAACTTGCTTTGTAACAGGGTCATATTATATACGGTGTAATGCGGGCACGTTAATGTTCGAATATATAGACGATTAGAGAGTACGAGTATTAAAGTGCCGGAGGGTATTGGGCACTTTATTATTCGAACATTGGGTACCTGAATACAAGGCACTATGACTGTGTATATTGCTCGAAGTGAGATCCGTGTAGCTGGTATCGTATAGAAATATTTCTCATTACACGAAACCACCGTCGGGTGTCTAAATCTGGAATCCAAGAGCACAAACAAGTCAAAGGAATCGTTAAATATTTCAAAATCGCACAGTGAGAAAGGCCTGTAATATGGTATAAGTATATATGCGTGTATGCGAAAGCGCTTTTGGTCACCTACGCCACGCGACTTCATATATTCTCTAGCCTATGCAACTCCCACTCCTTTGGTAACTATCGTCACCACTATTATGACCATCTATCCACCTTGAACTATCAATCCTCTTTTCATTTTTTTTCGTGTGTGCATAAGTATTCTTCTTTATTCTCTCTCTTCTCTCTCTTCTCCCTCTCCATCCGTATTTCAGTGTTGCAGCGTGAACCGGGAACCAAAAGAAGCCAAGGAGTAGGAGGACAGGGACAAAAAAGATAGGAGGTGGAAGAGGACAATGATGATGATAATGATGAAACGCCGACGTCGAGAGCACCGAGGATAGGACTACGTGGTCCGTAGTCCTGAGAACGTAGTCCTGAGAGAGCATGCCGCGGTGGCTCCTTGCCCTGGACGAACCAGCATCCGACCCATGTGACAGCGATCCACGACGTTCAATCGGGGTAGGATCGTAGGGTCGTACGAGGGGATGCTTAGCCGTGGGAAAGCCTGTCCCAGAGCCGCGTCGACAACGGCTGTGGCAGTTTCTGCTCGTGAGCCTCTCAGTGTAGGAGTCACGCCGCAATTGCCCCTTCGTAACGATCCCTACCCAAGTAACGCCGATAACGTCTTTGGAATACCCCGGGTCGATCTCCACGAGTTTGAATGGTGAGATATTATCCCCAGTGAATTTCGCAAAATTTTCCGTGCTCTTTGACTTTTGGATGAAAGACCAAAAAATACGGCCATCGTCGGGACGCTTTAAACGCACAGTATTAATTTTAACATCCTTCAGGATAGATCCGGATTCTTTGGATGCCGAAGTTTCGAAACTGGTCATAGGTTCCTCTGCTACACGAATTCCAAGAAGATGGAGAACCTCGACCAGTTCGGGCTATTCGAGTCATTCTCCGCCACTTTCGGCGGGCTCCTACTCCTGCTGCACCTCAGCCCCAATCCACACCCCTGGTCCTGGTGCTGCACTTCAACGTACTTCAGCCAATCACACCTCAGCGAAGGCTGCTCTCGCAGTCATCCACGAAAGCGAAACGATACCCAGACCGATTTGGCCTTGCGTTACCGGAGACTCGATAATGCACGACGATGGCGACGTCCTTGACGACGCTGAACGTCTCCGCTCGGGAATCTACGCTTGTTGCACGTATGGACATGGGTACGGTTACTCTCACTGCGACTGGGATTATGGTCAGTCCACGACGTCGAGTGCTCAAGAGGTTCTGTTCGAGCTCTCCAGGACGCTGAATTCAGTTATAGAAGGCGGTACGGATATGAAAGCTGAAGAAATTTTACGAGATATATCGCGCACTGTTGCCCAGGGTATTAATACAAAGAAACGCTGCCTCTGTGAGGATTATGTTTATCGCTTGTCCTCCGCCTCGTCAAACGTCGGTAAGGAATCTCCAGGAGTGAACCCAGTCAATGTAAACATTTATGGAAAATCACGGTCTCTTCGTGTGCCACGATGTACCTGCGAAAAGAAGACTTTCAGTCAGGGCCTTTTGTCCCCATTTTTTACGCAAATTCACCAAGTGAACGAAGAACGCAAGAAAAAAGATGCCACACCGGCTGTCTTTTTGGTCCCGGAATATCCTCGAAATCTTGGAGAGACTTTGCATCGTTACGACAATGTATCGGGACTCTGTAATTATCGTACTTATCGTAATTTCAATGACGACAGTCAAAACAAGAAGAAGCACAACGCTATTTCGGGAAACTACTCCAGATCGAAAGAAGACCCTTTCGCACAGCAGAATTCACGTAACGTCAAGAGCATCGGTCGAAAAGGTTATCAATTAACAGAACCTGAATACACGACGGTGAGTGGATTATATCTGAGACAAATCATTTACTAAACACAGCCGATACAATCTTATTCTTGCACTACCTTTATAATTCGGTCACACTTCATTAGTCTTGAACTCGCCTCTTCATTTCTCTTATAAAATTCACTGACTGAACTATACCACTCGCTATCCACTACTGTAGTTCTGACTAGAAAGCGTGAGTCTACTCGCGCAACGAAGGTATCAGTCGCGGTACACGGTGCACGTTAAAAGAGGTAAAAGAGGTAAAAGCGCTAAACATCTGATTAACCAAATATTAATGTCAAGAAATTGATGCGTCATGACCACTGTTTCAGCAGCTAGAGTGCAGTGATGGGACTTCTTCTAGTGAAGGAATTGTGGAGTCAATTGGCAAGACCGACTGGGATCGTGACGTTCGAGTATTCGACAGGGATTTGGATTTTACTCTGGATGGTTCACGAGCTGAAAGATTGGGCAGAGTTATCGCGAAAGCCAAAAGGAAACGGCAATGGTGTCGAGCCGTTACAGCTATCCTCGGGCTAGTCTTCTTCGTATTAAGCGTTGTTGTAGTTTCCTTATCGGTAACGAGGGGACGTAAAGTTTTTGGAAGTATGTAAAGTTGATTTCCTTCTGTGAACTTCACGATGATAAAATGATATCACGGGTCCTTCTGTGCTTTCACATAATATAATGGGGTATGGCGACAGAAAAAAAAACAGCAGCTAACGGATGTGTGTAATGCCACACGCTGCACCTACCCCTTAAATAGCTTCTTTAATTACATTAATTCCTAGTACCTTGTATCGATAAATTAGACGCGCAGAGCCCATTGTGACTCTGCGAGCAATATAATGGCTGTGACCATGTCGTCGTTTATATTTTGTTATTGAATAAAATATACTCTGTAACAAGTGTATCGAACTGATCAATTTAGATTATTGTAATATTATGCCATTAATTTTTTCAATGTTCCCTGGTGGTGTCGTAGTTTGTAACGAGAGTGAACTTTCGTGAGCATATAGATAACTAGTGATAAAAAATTCCTTTCTCCGTTGTAATTGTGTTTGATAAACCTACCTTTTGTGATTGAATCCTAGGAGATCTTTCTTAGAAACACGGTCGCGGCGTTACTGTTAATTAGCTATGTGTTAAATAATTTTCTTACAGTACCTCAGAGTGTAAACGGGTCACTCCAATTAGAAAAGTATTTTTAACGTAGATATTTTATCTTATGAAGTAAAGCATCCAATGTTGGAACTTCAAATGTAATGTCTTATTTAGAATAAGAATAATAAGAAGTACTACGTGACAGTGCTTAATGTAACTGTCATGTTTTATGAAATCATTCTAATGTAACTTCACAAGCCGGTCATATCGCGGCCTACAATTAACTTCCTCTTTCCTTTTCCTTATGGCTGACATCTCCAATGAGGAGATGTGCCAGAAAAGTCTGCAATTAACTTTCTTCCGTCCTTCTTTTCCTTATGCCTGACTCCTCCAATGAGATGTGCCAGCCACAATTAACTTCCTTCCTTCCTTTCCTTATGGCTGTATCCCCAATAGGGGACATGTGCCAGTAACTGGTCCTAATAATCAAGGATTGGAAGTTCGACACTAGATGGCGATGTACCTTGCGAGACGGGCCTTATTCTACTCAGCGTGAGGGGACCTACAAAGTTTATACACCGAATCCGAACAGTGTTGGGCGAAATCCCTATAAATACTCACTTAAGTTTTCATATGAAAACCCATTGGTGAATGCCGCTGGAAGCTGGCCACAATTAACTTCAAACTCAATAAGCGATTGACCATGAAACACGAATTCTTATAAGGTTAGCTCTCTTTCTGAATACAGAGATCAGTAGGGAGATGCACAACGCTACGGTTTTAGGCGATAAAGTCCACAGTGTTCTTCTCTCGTCAGAGCGCTATAAACGCGGAATTGGCAAAATCCAGAAGACTCGCGTGGACGAGTAAAAATTATTTAGTACACAGCGGAATCTGTGGTTGATCACTCGGAAACAAGAATAGCTGGAAATATAGTCAGACACTACCGCGTAGCATGGGAACACTTTCGGAATGCATCACCAAAATCTCGCACAAATATAAGTCAGATCTATGCTATACGTCCGGTATCAGCTGAGTATAGCAAATTTATGGCTTTCAGCATGGCCGCTTACATAACTGTTTATGATGAGTAGAAAAAAAAGGCAAAAAAGAAAAAGATCACTTACCCCAGGATCTTCGTCTGCCTTTCCCTTGTCCATTTGTATTGTTCATTGGTCCAGTACATCTTTCGACACTCGAGGTCCACTTTGATGACGACTTGACGATTCCAGCCTTGGCCACTATTTTGCACTTCCTGTATTTTCGGTTGCGGACTAATTCTTCACTTGTTACGAATAGACCAATACATGAATTTCCGCGAACTTTAGATAATAGAATTTTGTGATCATCGCCTTCGTCGATAATGCATATCCCGTCGTAGCCGAGCTGAACGTGATCACGAACGGGTAGCCTGGCGGGCAGAGTCCTCCGCTACTTATCGCTGGTTCCCAAAGCAACACTTAGAACGAGACAACTCATTGGATATAGCCTAAATACTTTTTTTCTTTGCAATCCTAAATGTATAGAAAGAGATGGCATGAAATGGGATGAAGGCTCGAGGCGAAGAGCCTCAAAGAAATGATTTTGATGATACTGATAGGGAATGGTTGTTACAGACATGACACTTGACCGGGGACAAGCGCGATGGACCGGATTAAGCAGGCTAGGGTGCGAAATACACGCTATCGGGCCCAACCCCTACGGACAGCGGAGGTCCGGCTAACAGATACCGAAGTAACAGCGGACTGCTGTGACGCAAGAGCTTAAAGGGCCGCGAAGCGGCTTCCGACCTTCGACAGACTTTGGTCGCGGACACAAAGCATTGACAAACATGAGTACAAGACTTTGAACAACATGAGCATATGTGAATGGCCTGGACTAAGCAGTTGCTTGTGTCGCAGAACCAGAACACGGGAAAAGGAGCCAGGCTATGAAAATTCGCGATCACCCCTAGCCGAGTCGACCGCAACGAATCACTGGGCATCAGCACCGACCGAGGCCGGAAGTCCCCGACCTATAACTATACTACCTTTAACTTATAACTATATTGCCTATAAATGTTTTGACAAACTCACAAAAATGGTGTCTAGACCCTGTACCTGCTACGCACTAATATTGAATTTAAAAGAAAACTATGAAGGTACAAGCGATGGAACGCAGTGGAGATATACTAGAGACTATACTCTTTCGAAGGGGACTGATTGGAAAGAGGTACAAACGATACTTTCTTGAAGAACTTCAAAAA